ACTAACTAACACTAACATGTCAGAATTTTCCGAGCAGCACGAAGAGTCATGAAGAGTGAATCTCTATCAAAACCCTGAACAACATTTGGGAAAGGGAGAACAAGACAGCATTTAACATCAGCCGAACAAGAATAGAGGTAGTCAAGGCACAAGCTGAATTTACAGAAGCAAACAAGCAAGTCAAGAAGAGTATTACAAATGACAAGCAGAAATACGTAGATAACCTGGCAAAGAGGGCGAAAAGAGCTGTAGGAGAAAGAAATATATTTTGATAGAGACCATGAACCGATTGACATCAAGCCAACAATGAAACCCCAGAACCACTGAACAGCCGTTTCGTCCTTAAAATTCAGTAGACACCCAACTTCGGGATCAAAAAGTCGGATTCTGTAAGAATCGGTCATGCACAGATCAAACCGCGACACGGCAGATCGTTACTAAGCAATCAGTCAAATGGAATTTGTCAAAATATACCAACTTTTCCGGTTATGAGGAAGCGATTGACACTGTGGATAAGAGAACCTTATTCTAGATACATGCCTACTAATTTTTGATACGAACTTCATCAATTATTGTTATTACACATTCTACACTGTGTTAAGTTCTCAATGGTCCAGCGTATATCTTTCAAAATGGTTAGAAATCTACAGGTCGATCATTTTGCACTGCCAAAAGATCTCAAATTACAACGAAAAAGACGTCAAGTGGGTTCCGACTTTCTAGTTTTCCAAATGCTCCCAGTGTCTTCCAAACATTATTATTCAATGCAAGATGAGAAATCTGACTTTTACATATTTAAAACTAAGGTTTTTGGCCTTTGCTAATTAAGTTTATTCGGGAGATAAATGAACTCAATACAGAAATAAAAAAGGTTGCATCAACTAACGACACAAACTCATCCCAGTAGATAAAATTATAAATAAGTCACAAAATTTCCTAGTAAACACAGCTTTGGTGAATCAACGATTAAACGTGTTCATTTGCTACTCGCACAGTTAGCTGATACTTCTAGCGGTTGCATAGAGACAGAACTCAATCATCAACTTTCAGACACTGTCACTAGACGATTTTCTATAGTTCTTTTGTCGAAATTTAACACACGAATAACAGTTATCTTCGGTTTCGATCGACTGACCAGGTCATTTGTCACTTCGTTTAGTTCGTATTACAAAGTAGTAAATCTCCATGTCACAAAATAATCTGAAATGTGCAATCTTACCCATAACTGTCACAATTTGTGACAAGCAACATACCATCAAACTGTGGAGTTCGGAATCAATAATTACCAGTGAACTTCAATTAAATCGCTGTGTGCTTTAATATGACAATGATACAACTAAGAACTATCCACATTTTTTAAAATCACGGACATCTCACTCAAACCTTTTCTCAATCATTGGTCCTTTATATCTAAATCTGTCCATTTTTACTCAGTCCCGTGTTATTGTGGTGTGTTAATAAACAATATTGTAGCACAACTAGAGATTCAAGAAAAAGGGGCATTGGATGGAAGAAAATGCAACTGTAGGAACATGATTTCTTTAAAATACAGTTAAAATTTACACATCATGGCGTTTAAATACATGTATGAATCAGATAGTTATACAAAATATCATTGCTGTTAATGGAAACAGTTACGATGAATGTGAACATATATAATCAGAGGTGGAATCAAAATTACTAGTCAGTTAAAATTGGTGAATAAAGAACATTGAAATATTGTAGTGAAGGGGAACACAGGTGAGGACAACCAAATTGTATTTAGCACAAATTACAGAGTTACTTGGTAAAATAGAAAAACCATATCGTCAATCGTTAATTTGCCAAATATCATTCCATCATATCAAACCGGACTGTTGCTGTTGCAAACATCAAACCATTGTCTCACATTTCATCGTTCATGCGATTTTTTACAAATTCCATTCCACTCTCCGGATCGTGTAGACTGAGCCGCGTCTTTCCGTGATAACATGCGGTCCTTCCCACTTTGGGATCAGCTTTCCCGACCCTGCTCCCCCTGCTATGTTACTTTTTCGTTCTCTACACTTTACTAGGCCCCCCACTGCAAAGGGTTTCCACGTTCTCCTCTGTTGTTCCGCCTTCTTTATGTATGATATCTGTTTCTTTTACACGTTCCTTATTGCCTCCCTCCTCTCTTTTTCTAACCTTGTTGTCGTCCATTTCTGTTGTTGTGGCCAGGTCTTATTATGCATTAGAAGTCGTGACTGTCTGTCATACATGAGTAAGAAAGGTGACTTCTTGGTTGTGCCTTGTGTGGAGGAACGATGTGCCAGCAAAATCAATGGTAACTCTTTCTCCTAATTTCCTCCTTTAGATGCTAACCATTCCTTTAACGTCTGGTTGTTTCTCTCTGTAAGCCCGTTTGTCTGAGGATGATACGGTGTGGTTCGTATTCGTTTGATGCCAAACTGTTTTAAACGGGCTTTAAACTCGTCACTTTCAAAACAGGGACCCTGGTCAGTTAATATCATCTTCGGTATTCCGTGACATGCTACAATATGCCAGATTACCACTTCGGTCACTGTCCTTGCCCGTTGCTCTGCAATGGGTACGGCATCTACCCAACGTGTAGCATGTTCCGTCATTACTAGCGGGTACTGGTTACCACTCGCCGTCTGTGGAAACGGTCCCATCACATCCACCGACCACAGATCACCGACTGCGGTTACTGGGATTGACTGTAATGGCGGTTGTGTGTATCGATCGTTTTTCATTAGCTGACACTGCTGGCAAGTTGACACGTATTCAGCGACATCGTCTCTCATGTCCGGCCAGTATGCAGTCTGTCGTAGTAAATCCGTCGTTCTTGCGCTTCCTGTATGTGCTACCTGGTGACACTCGTGTATCACTTTACGCCGCCAGCCTTTCGGGATCACCGCCATCCGATTCTCGTCATCGTCCTGACAGGTCAGGACTCCATATGAGTTCACTCTCAGTCGTTCCTTCTGCCGAAGCAGCGTTATTACCTCCTTGTCCATTGTTCGTTTGTCTACGTCTGCTCCCTCTTTTGTCACTCTGATTACCTCTCGAAGGTTAGGGTCAGCTTTCTGCTGCCGGACGAGTTCTAATGGGTCTCCCTGTAAACTGTTCACCGTGTATGCTGTTAATGGCAGGTCAGCTTCCATGTCTGGTCTCGTCAAGTAATCCGCCATTACGTTTTCTTTTCCTGGAACATGGCCGATACTGGAGTCGTATTCTTGCAGACGTATCATCCATCGCGCCAACTTCCTTCGGGGGTCTCTTGCTGTTTTCAACCGCTGCAGGGGTTTATGGTCGGTCTCAATGTGAAATCGTTTATCTAAAAGTTACGGTGTCCATTTTTCTACTGCCCACACGATTGCTAAACACTCCTTTTCGATGGTTGAATACTTCTGTTCAGCGGGTGTGAGGACGCGACTCGCGTATTCCACCACTCTATCAGCCTGTCTCAACACAGCACCTATAACAAGATCACTCAAGTCTGTGACCACTGTGAACAGTTTTCCCGGTTCAGGCAGTTTGAGCGTCATCTGACGATCGTCTAGCATGTTATTGATTCGGTTGAACGTTTGTTCGGCAATCTCATTTCACGTAAACTTGGTGTTGCTCAATAACTTATATAAGGGTGCTGCTATTTCGTTGAAATTCTTGACAAACCGACTGTAGAACGCCGTTCTTCCCAGGAACTGTCTCAATTTCCTTTTCGAATTAGGTACTGCAATATTTTTTATGGTAAGAATTTTCTACGGTAATGGTTTTATTTCTCCATTTCCCACTTTATGTCCCAACAACGTGACGCTACTTCTCGTTATCTGCGACTTGTTCTTATTAATCCGAATTCGTCAATTCGCTTTAAGACCGCTTTCACATGCTTGACGTGATCTGTTTCTGTCTGGCTGTACACAACCACATCGTCGCCATATACCTCGACATTATCTAGATTTTTTAGCAGTAGTGTCATTAGTCTTCTGAACGTGAACGGCGCATCCGCCAACCCGAACGGCATTCGTTTAAATTGATACTGTTTATCCCGTACAGTAAACGCTGTCTTGCTTCGATCTTCTTCTCTACATTACTTATCTCCTGCTTTCCGCACCCAACCGGAGCTACTGTTCGCGTCATCAGCTGACGAGTCACCTTCGCCAGTTCACTGATATCCATCGGTTGCGCTGCGTTCACCAGTTGGGAGATGGTGGCAGGCACACTCTCGATAAACTGTGACGCTAACGACCGTGCCTCCGACTCCTCATCCAGATTCGGCAGCGCACGGCGTAACAATCTGGTAAGCTCCACCGCCAGCACCAGTGGGTCACCATCAACCGGAACTTCTGCAGCGCCTCCTCCCTGTCCACTGGGCTGTCGAACTCCGCTGCCAAACGCTCCGTAACTGTCTCCCATGTCGTCTTCCCACCAGCACCGTCCAAGCTGTCATATACAGCCTTCGCCCTACCTCTCAGCAGCGTCCCCAGCACCACCAACTTCGCCTCCTTCACTCCCACCACGGCCTCAAACTCCTTCAGGAAGCTCAGCACATCTCCGTCTTCAAATTCCTTCGGCCATGGAATCTTCATCCTTAGTGGAAGCAGCGACACCAAATGTAGTGAAGAATACAGGTGAGGACAACCAAATTGTATTTAGCACAAATTACAGAGTTAATTTGCCAAATATCATTCCATCATATCAAACCGGACTGTTGCTGTTGCAAACATCAAACCATTGTCTCACATTTCATCGTTCATGCGAGTTTTTACAAATTCCATTGTGTTCTCGCTCTTCTTTTCTTGATTTTCCTTATGTTCTGCCGCCAGACATTTCGTTCTTTTAACTCACGTTATATACTACTTATATCAATATAAGTAGCACGCACCACAATATAACCTAATAAATAAATAATACTGTTTATTATAAAACCTAAATATCCTAACGTAATAACACATTAAGTCAGAGATATGTTCTGTTAAAACCCAATACGAAGACAAAACAAATATCAAGTGCTGCTTGATATTGCATGAACCTCTAACTGTTAATTTTATGAATAAAATGATCTAATGAACATAAGGCCGCTAAATAGACTAATAATCCAATTTTTTTCCAGAACAGAAACTTTTGACATAAGTTTCCGGATTCAGCCTCTGCTGTGGCATAAAACCATTCGCCAACAGATAATAAATTTGATTACACATACACAATGAATTTTAAACAGTATATCAGTAAATTTGACACGAGAAAAGAATGGTACATACATAATAATATATATCTGTTTTTCTTAGAAAGAAGATTGTGCACGTTAATATTTAGTAAACATTCTTTTGTACAATACATTAATAACTAGGAGATATTCCAAGAAAAATGCTTCTCCGTTAGTTGTTTAATTAAATAAAATAATTTGGTTTCTATCAACGTTTATTTTTCTTGTTTGGGGATTTTGTTCCATGACGAGATTTCTTATGAGATACTGGTGATGGACTATGGGCTCGTTGACGTTTCTTTGGATGTACTGTGTCGGGTATTTCATTTTTAGCATCCTCTGTAAGAATAAAAAAAGAGGAAATAAGCTAAGTAGTTAAATTTTGAGTAGAATACATTTGCAAGATTACAATAGTTTTATTAAAGAGAACACATATGGTATTGATAGGATTTATCGAAAACGTCAATAAGCAATTAAAGCAACAAAGTAACCTATAGGAAGACACATATTTCAACCTAAGTCACGTACGTGTCACACGAATTAGCAATAGTACCTGGTTACTTAAACTGCAATGCATAGTGATATTTGGAATATATGACAAAGTATGACAGATTACAGGGAAAGGGATAGTGTAGACGGAAGTATTCACATAGAAATCTAACAAAGTTTAAGATTTCGTCAAACATAGATTAGGCATCTCAGCTGAAAATGAAATTTACGTTAGTCAAAGTCGAATATTCTGTGAAAAGATGTCAACAATTCAGTTCATTTGTATCGGTTGTTTGAATCTTTACAATGATTTTTAGGTTTGCAGTTGACCAGTCTCTTTTGGCATATGTGGATTCTGCGCGGACTGTCTCGATATTACCCTAAGTCACAAGCATTATTAGCAGAGATGGATGATGGGTGGCAATGAAATCCAGGACGCGCATATCGTCCTATCTGAGACTTGTCAATTAGATAAGCCTGTATCCTAGAACTGATGCCCACACCGGAACTCGAACCAAGTGCTATTCGCTTCGAACGCCACCATGTTATCCATTTAGCTACTGAGTCCAGATAGCGGCCTGGATTCCACTACGAGCTACCATACATCTCTGTTTATGTCAACAATTAATTCAAGAAATATGTTAAGAAGTTATGAAATAACCTTCAAATATTTATAGCTATTCAACGTTGTTTGTTAGTTGAAACTATGCCTTCAGTTAATTGGATCACTCATATATTAAGCTTTAATTAATATGAGCATTTTTTTCCAAATGTTTTCAGAATCATCCGTGTAACTAAACTAACATTAGAACTAAACACTCAGTCTAATTTTCTGGATAGTTAGGGGTATTCAAAATATAGACTAGTGGGAGTCGAAATATCAGTCACGAATTCAGTGTCCGATGAACCAAACTCATTTGTTCCTATAAAATATCCTCAAGTTCGGATAATCAGACTTTGAGTTACAGTCTTTATGAGGGCTTGTAGTACTCTACCAAAATATCTAAACCGGAGTATTTATTAATTTAGCTCAGTTAAAATACTTATAGACATAACACAAACCTTTCCTAGCTTCTTCTTCTAATTCATCCCAATCTTTTCCTTCTGATTCATCTGAGTCTAAACTTTCCGGTTCATCCGATTCTTCTTCAGCTTCCCAATCCTCATCATCACCGCTAGACTCATCACCACTTCCATCTTCTTCACCATCGCCAGATAGCTCACTTTCTGATGGTGCATAATTCTCATCTTCATCTTCCGTGTCCTCTTCATCTTCATCGTCATCCTATTTTAAAAGAATAAAAAATGTATGAGCAAGTGATACATAAAATAGTTATATCATAAGCAACTTATTAAGTACACCAATTAATAATAGGTTCAACAGATAATATATATTCTTTGTCAAATGGTCAGGTAGTGAATCTTCATCGACTGAGGCGATTGAAATATGTATTACATATTCTTAACACTAGCTACCTAAATTGATGATTTCGTCTGGTTTATGAGTAGGTTGGAAGTTGTGAGTGGTTAAAACAAGACATAGCATCAGTCAACAAAGACACTAACTGGTGAACTGAACCATGTCAGTGGTTACAAACTATATGATTGGGGTTCAAGTGTGATTATTGTAACCCAAAATTGAAGGCGTTGGATGACGTGGTTTAGAATGGCAGAGATGCATCTACTTATTATATGTATTTTAGATCATGAGTGTTAAACCCTCTTGTAATTTTTTTCTTTTTATAACTCATCTTTTCTACTACCGCTAATACTGTTACTGCTCTGTGATTTGTCTTGATAATTACACCTTACTGTGTCGTGTGGCCACTTGAGCCGGTGTACATAAGGAAGGTCTCATGTTGCGTATAACCATAAATATCAGAAAGATAGACTATATAAATAACACAACCATATACTACATAGACGATTCAATCAGAATAATATGATAAGAGGAGTATGATATAAGGAAATAATCATATAGGATACATTCAGATTCTTTTGAGCAGTAGGTACTTCGGTAACGTTTCTTGTTATAAACGGATACATGTTATAAATGAAGAATAATCAAATTACCATAAACTATTAGCCCTACCACTTTGTGATGTTGGTACTCCAGCACTCCAAAACCGTAAATGTTTGGAAGGTCGCAAGCTGGATGTCTTTCTTCTTGATGATACCTTCCAAAGTTTAGCTGAAGTCTATAAGGCTACTAAGCATCTAAATCTGAGATGGTAACCTCTTTGAAGTTCATCAATACCACCACTACTGCGTTGTTGCACCTTATTTCTTGAGGAACCATATACATAAAAGTACTGTTCAAACTCACCTCCGGCCTAAACGGTAACAATGGCTCTGTCAAATGATGGGAATAAACAAACTGAAGGTTTTAACGCTTAAAACATCTCATTTACCTAATTTGAAAAATAAGCAGTAGTTTCCACACTCATATTAGTATAACACGCTCAGCATTTTAACATTTCCTAGCAGTTTGTGTATTAAAGACAGTTTTGTGTCCACTGAATCTACTTTTTTTTGGTTTTGAATACATACAAACACTAAATGTAAGTCATCTCACTCAAACCTTTACACTCTCCATTATATTCATTGTGTAATACTCACCAATTCGCATATGCATAGTCAAAAATCAAATTTGTTTGTACTACTACTATCGAAAAATTTCTATCAACCTGATTACACCTGTAAACTGGCGTGTATTTTGCAATAACATTCAGAAAATAAATTACTTTTGCCATTATTATTAACTAGACTAGTAGAATACTGATATGTGTAAATGCTTTATTTGACTACAAAGAGTTTTACTAGTCAAGGTGGTTGATGAAATTCCGTCACGAATATTAGATCATAGCTTGTCTGCTGTCAACCTACACCAAACTGTGCAGGCATTAAGGAAATATCTATCTGTTCTAGTGCAACAGTACGCTTTGTCCATGAGAAGCATGGGACAAATAAAACGTACAAATCTTAAACATTCAATTGTGTTACCCGAACATTGGTCGCGTACATAATAAGCGCAAAGTATAGTGTGAAGATGGCATGTAAGTAGGAGGATGAAGTTGTGGTATTTGATGAAGCTATTAACTATTGACCCATTATATTTAGAGGAAGTCTCATGCTTAAATCCGTAAAATAACTTATCCAGTGCTGGAGACTTTGGATGATGCATTTAAGAATAGATGACAATCGGTACAGGTATCCTTAGTCGAAGGCACTCTAAATCGTTTATATAGTGTGACATTTTTTACTTGCTAATCAGACCAGTCTTTCCTGATATACACCATCTGATGTAAGGTTTTCTATACACTCGGAAATGAAGTCACATATGAATGAAAATGTATTAACAAGAGAAAAAGATTGTCGTATCTGGTAGTAAAAGTGAAAATACATGTATAATTATAGTATATATCATCATAGCACTCACTTCATCTGGTGATATAAATGACCAACCTCCTTGTTCAACAAATCCCTCCGGATCATCAAGAATAGTCTTCATAAGTTTAGGCCAATTAAGTGATTTTGATGCTTCGGCATAGAAGATATCACACGATCTATGATGCATAAGAATATTTTTTGTTAATAAGATAAATGATATATCTTGCATCAATTTTTTGTATAAATATCAAATTATCCATTCATTATTAAAATATAATTAATAGAAAAATGGTTTACATTCGTTTGTTGAACTTTAGTTCTTTACAGAAAAAGAAATCGTAGGTGAAAATAAAACACTGTTAAATGTAGTTGGATTACAAATAATGAATTCTAAGTTAAAATACTAGAATTTCAACTAACAAGTCCAGTCAGGTTCCAACTACGTTTTACTTTGGTTTGATCAATCGAGTATTGTTTGCATTCAAATGTCGAGTAAATAAGTTACAATACTGTTACGAGTTACTGGATTATCTTTTAATTCTAGGAAAACAAAAGCGGGATAGTTAGACAACATCTTAAACATGAGCGCACGTGATTAGTCAACATTTGAGCTGTTTTATAAGGAACGAGACACGCCATTATTTGAACATTTGTCTTAAATTCCTACGGGAAATATACTGATAGTACAATTATCTCTCGACCTGGTTTAGCCAATGTTTTCTCACTCAAGTAACTGGTTCAAGCTCACGTAAACGAAGCTTGTATATCAGTACCAGAATCAGACATCACACAACACAGCAAATACACACTATTTACAATACGGATTTGCTTGACCGAGCTGTACTACACTACCCTAGCGGTTAGATTGAAGTGTCGACATTTCTCATAACGCTTACATAAATGAAAAATCGAGTGTTACAAAAATATACATTATTAGTAACAGTTTACGTCAACCTATTGCTGATATCGAGGACTGAATTCCGATAAGTTTTATTGGTATGTTCGTGCTCTGTGTAATTTGCTTCGATATAACCATTTTATTACATGTTTTACGGAACAGATGAATTGTGCCTATAAGTAGGGTATAAATATATTACCTGTTGAGCAAGTTAGTATATCAGTGGGTAGAGCGTGTCTCAAGAGAAGGAGACCGAATTTGAGAATCAGTGTGAACACCAAAATTGAGATGCAAATATATCCAGCTGGCGAGCCCCAAATAGGAGGGAATGTAATGTTTAGATTGTATACAACTATACAGTTTATGAATGCTAAGGAGACCTCGAGTTACTTACTTTTTGCTATTATATGTTAGTTCTTTCTTAGTAGGGTAGTCTCATTACCACTTCCCTAATGTATATTCCCGCAAAAACTTTTTCTGTTATCTGATAGGCTGCTATTGCCTTTGGTTTAATAACTTTGTCATGTACTTTAAGATCGTTGCAGGTTTCTACATAAACAGAGTTGTTCCTTCTCAATTTTTAACTTCCGTACAAAATATAAAATTGCTCTGGAAGTCTCCTATTCTCTGTTAGTGTAGATTACTAACATTGAAGTGTTTTTAAGTAACAGATGTCGAGTTTATTTAAGTTACCATTAGTCGAGTCGTATTTGAGAGAATCATCAATCGTTTGTAAAAAGAATTTACCGTAGGTCAACTGGAAAGTCCATAAGATATAATCGGTTTATCAAGGTTTTATAATTTGCAGTACACAAACCAATAAAATGAAACAAAAAATACGACTTACAACAACCATTCTTTGACCAGTTCCAAAGCAGTACTCGGTATTGAATTAATCATTGCTGGTTTTTTATGATAATCTTTAAATACAAACACCATATCGAATGTACGAATCGATAAGCTGACACGTTCCAACATGACAAATTCAACTTCATCCAATGTAACCACGAATGCAGGTAATTCAACAACACTTATTAATGCACTACTTGTAGGCATCAGTAGTACAGTTGATCTATAATGAAAAAAATAGTAAAAACAACAGCAATAATAAAAGGAACGATTGAATTTTCAGGATTATCAGAATGATCTTATTTGAATACTTCTTCTGATGGAGTGTAAACGTCATACGATTTCAAAAAATGTTAACTATGGATAGGCACCTTCATACACGACGTACAATCTGTAAAATATGTACACACCATATCGGCACAGAGATAAAATTATGAAGACAAATCCCAGTGTATCAATAGCATCAGTGATATTAAAAAGATTAGACATAGAGACTATGGTGTTGTTAAGGAAAAAGATGAATGTATCGGTACCATAGTAATCGATTCTGAGTCACCCAGTGATTCCACTCACCAGTTATGGTATATATATACCATAACTGGTGAGTTATGGTGTATGAAGGTGCCTATCCATATATATAGTAGAATTATTCATCAAGAGTTATTTTACTGTTATTTTTGAAAATTTTGGCCGGAGTGCCTTGGATTTAGATGGAGAGCAAATACTATGCATACGAGGGCATCCAAATGACAAGTCCGAAATAGGATGGATTCTACTGCTAGCCATATACCAAATACACTATTTCAATTGTCAGGTTAGGTATTGGAAAGCTATTTTCTCTTCACAGGGTATCATCAGCACACATGTAAAAGCTGTACACCCTACGAAGTTGTATTAAATATCTGACGAAAGACACGACAAATTAGATTAAACATTCGCAATTTCTCGGGAATTGAATTTAAATGACAAATAAGCTTTCAGACTAAATAGTTGAAACATTTGTATTACGCTAAACAATATGATTATGTATGATTCCGACAGATCACTTATCAAACAAATTCCAATTCGTTAAGGAAAGTAAATTTCCCATGAAATTTCAGTTCCATGTATCGGAAGACGGTGTGTTCGATGGCAAGCTCAATCTAAGCAAAGTGATAAGATGAAAAAGGGACACGAAGAACAAATTAATAACATAAACAAACTCATGCGCAGTAAGAATATAGCATATTCCGTAAACACTAAGATCTCATATGTAACCCAACAACCTACCGGAAAGGACATCCATGAAATCCAAGTTCACGGAATGGTGTTTCAAATTCTAGATCATATCGACGTGCTAAGTTCTCAGATCTATCCACAAATGAACGAAATGCCATTTTAATTTGTTCTCTCATTTCACGTTCTCTTTGTTCCGCCTCTAAATCATCACGATCTTGCATACGAGAATGCGTTTTACTCAAATCTGTGGTTAATTCACCAACTTCTGTATAGAACTGGATATCGGTATGCTTTTTCTTGCCATACATAATTGCATTCTGCAGATTTAAGGGAAAAGAAAGAAAAGTGGAGACTTATTTCATATTAAAATTAAGTAGTTACATAGTAGAGGTGTTTAGAATAGTGTTAAACAACTTGATTACCAACCAGTAGTAGTATAGGAATGTTCTATTTGCTCTTAAGTATACTATTTTACGACTGATGATATTGCCTGACTATCAGAGTTGAATTCGAAAGCCTATCCCACTGGTTGAATGTAAAGTGCTTTTGAAAACTAAGACAACGCTCTTATTCAGTGAATGAAAAACCGGAAATTATCACCAGGTGGCTATGAATAGTAAGCACTTGACCTACAAATATAACATAGTTATAAATGATTAGTTTATGTGTGAACAATAAAACTATGATGCTGAGCTAGATCCATTTTCATTAAAAAATATCTAAAGATGAAATTATTGTCAGCAACCAATTGGAGAGTGAAGCGAATCAACTTTCAAAGTAAAAATTAATCAGAAATTGAGAGAAAGGTATAACCACAATTACCAGTGAAAAATCACTCACAACCCTACACCTATTATCATAAATGTATTAAAAAGTAAACAGTTAGAAACAGGTGACATGTGGGAGTAAAAACTGCAAGAGTATTACTTGATAAACAAATACGACTTAAGAAGGTCCAGAGAAAAATCTTCATAAATTAAAAGCACGAAACTGGTTACTACAAACAGATCATTTGGAATTACGGCTTCAAACAGTCGTAAAAGTACCTGTTGACATACCTTTAAATGGAAATGCAGTAAAATAATCATTTCTCCATCACACGGCTGATAGAATGCATGTTTAATATTGTTATACAGAATATCAACTTGATCGCCTCGAACTGAAGTGAAACGGAAACCGTTTGAATGAGCCTCTAGCGTACCTAATGAAAAATAGGTAAGCATGGACGGCATATAAATGATGATAACGATAATAACAAGTAATATTCCATGTTCATTATTTTGTCGATTCTTTTGACAGTAGAGCAATACACATTTAAAACTACGTACGGTAATTTACTTGGATTGGTATTTAATATCAATTATCCTTTCCGATTAACAAATAGCATATAGAAATTCAGTCAGTCAGTAACAACGTATAACTTCGTACGTACGTACATCAGTTCGAGCTGCCACACCACATAAGCACAGAGATGCAGTTGTCGATTCAAATTCCGTAATGGTAGAGGTAGTAAGAGTATAAGCAGTGATCGGAAACATTAGGGTTTGAAGATGTTATTCAAGGAGTATAGTCCAGAGAAATAAATTTGGAAAGAGAGAAAGTGAGACAAGAAGGATTCAGGAGATTAGAATTTGGGAGAACACAAAGAGTGGATGCACCTGCGCCACTGCAAACGATTTTGAGCCATGTCATTCAGGGTCTCTAACTATCGGTTGCTATCATCTCGCGGTCCTCAACCAGGTAGTCTACACCTGCCAACATGGCATATAGCATATAAAAATTGTAACTTAATAAACCATGTAATAAGGGTTATGTAGATATTTTAAAATACCCACAATACCACAAACAAGTTAAGAGAATACATTCATTAAGTCGTATAACGTTTAAGAGTTTGGGAAACTGCTCAAACGCATACGTGGATACATACATACAGTCATACATATATAGTAACAAATACCTGTTATTCTTTTCGATGCAACATTAGGACGAATGTATAAATCCTTCAAACGAAAAGAACCTTTAGCATGATCTACGACTAAGTCATCTTGTTCTACGAGATTTGCACGTTCTTTCTCCTCCGCTTCACGTGATCGAAAACGCTTTAATACTTCTTTAATTATACGATAAGCATTATTTAAATTGGTCGATGGTATACTGACTTCACCATGTCGGCGTACATTTGAAGCACGATAAGTCATCTCTTTCACATAAGTTGATTCAGGACTCTAAAACAAAATTGAGTTATACAGGGAAAAATTTGAATGTAATTAACGTAAAAAATGCTGATGATTTTGATGATTTACAAGGCAGATATATATAACTCAAAGACTATGTAGGTTTTGAATTGTACAAACAGAAAGGTCGGTAAAAAGCCCTCTGATTCTTCTAACACTAAATAGGTTAAGGAATTTTGGGACATAAGATCAGCTAGTTGACAATAACAATGCTGGAACTCAGTCAGTTATATGCAACCTAAAATCTGGTACCTGTGTGTCAAACCCATTAACACAGTAAGATGAATTTGTCAAGGTGAATCCCAGAGTAGTAGAAGCAGTAGAAATATCAGTAGTAATAGATAAGATTAGGTGCTCACGAAACAATTCGAGAAAATATGTATTTGTGAAATAGTTTTATAAATTAAGAAACTCAGTTTCTAGGCGGATACAACGAATGAGCGCGCATTCGCCACTGAAAACGATTCCGATCAATGCCACACATATTTTTTTACTGTTGTTTACCATAATCATGAGAACCCCAACCAGATAATAGTCTACACCTACCCACATGGTTTAGTTCAAGTCAGTATCTTCATGGACTGATGTCATGTTTAGAACTTATGAATCATATTTCGAATGATTGACAAATACTTTCCCTGTACTAGACAGTAAAAAAGAAGAATAAGTAAATGGGTGTAACTATCTAGATAGGATAAAAATTAAGAGAAGAAACTTTACTCTTCAAAAAGTTCATAGAAAATCTTGGTTAATTGGCGTATTTATTCGTTACGTATCTTATTATCTGATGCGTTAGACCATTTCACTCACTATGTTCAATATTTTCTTTAATTTTAAACTAATATCATTAGCACGGATGACTTAAAGTTGGCAAACTAGACTTCCTCAATTGTTCCCCTTTGTATGTATCCAGTTGATAGTAGAAAGGTAGAAATATTTTAATCCGTAAAATCAATAAACTAACTTGGAAACTGGCTGTATCTTTTGCGCCAACTAATGCACCAGGATGATGGAAATTTATACGTAAATACGTATAATCAGCTTCAATAGACGTAGAGACATTCTTTATTGTACTGATGTGAAATGGTGTTGGAAGTCCGAAAATTGGCAAAATAACAGTTTCATACTTTTTATCTATAAAATAAGGGGGGGAAAAGCAGATGGGGTGAAAACAAAATCACGATGACAGTGAATCAGGTACGCATTTCAATGACAGACACTGCTACAGAATCTCTCAGTCTATCGAGTCGAATGCTGCTTTTAAGTCAAGAAAGACCACCATTGCCGGACGCCGATGAGCATGCCTGTGTTCTAAGACCTGACGGATGGTGAATATGTGGTCAATGCAGCCACGACCAGGTCTGAAGCCAGTCCAGGTTTCTCGTGTTTGCAGTTTACGATTCTTTGTAAGGCATTTGATAATTATTTAGACCAGTATTTTAGATGCTATCTTAGTCAAATTAACCCCTCTATGGTTGTCACAGGATGATTTTGACCACTTCATATATATTGGGACAATCAGTGGTTGCGACCAGTCAGATAGGATTACGTCCAACTCCCAGATTACAGATAAAATATTAGTCAACCTGACCGCTAAAACTGGACCACCATACTTAAAGACCTCTGGAGCCAATCCATCTGGACCAGCTGCTCTTCCTCGTTTCAGATTAGCTATAGCTTTTTGGACTTTAATTAGAGTCGGGGGGAATACTTCAATGTTCCGTCCAGGCTGTCTGAGAATGGTAGGTGGTTGTAGAGTAGCTGCAAGCCAGCTAAACTGTTCCCTAAAGTGTTTCGCCTGTTGTTCTAAATATATGGACTGAGAGCAAATAAGAGTATCGTCTTTGTCCGAGATCATCTCACTTACACTTGGACTTCTTAATTTTGGTTTCTTTTATCAGTCTGCAAAGCTGTTTTGTGTTACCTACAGCCACTGCCTTTTCCATCTATTTGCTTTCGTTGCCCACCACTGCTCACGGACGTTCCTCAGACTTTCGGTCAACCCAGAACTAATATGTTTTCGCTCTTCATCGCGTTCAGAGCCTGATGGGATGAGTTTACGAGAACTTATCAGTACAACAGACTTAGTAGAAATCCATTGGTTTTTTGTAACCCTTTAGTTTAAATCACTAATAGATGTCACAGCTGTTTGTATATCTCCAATAACAATCTATGACCAACATAGCAGAAGAACAGACAACAAAGATAGCGGGTATTCTTTTAATAGCGGTAGCGTGTGTATTGTTATATCCTTAGCTTATACGATTACTGCGAATACGATTGCCGAATTTCGATGCGCGGATTTATACAAACAACAAATGGAGCATACATCTAAACGGACAGCCTGAAGTTCCCTACCTGTTAAATCCAGAACATGAATCTCAGCCTCAGCGTTATGAATCATATATTTCAAATTCACTAGGCTTACTTACAAGCCGAACAAACCACATAACGCCATAAATAGAAAATAACATTTGTGGTTTTCCTGAGTGCAGAGAGGCGCTAACAAATGCGTGCTCGTACTAGAGCATGACCGGAGTCCAAACAGGTATTCCAGAATGAGCAACAGTCTCCTATTGAGCGTCTCCAACAATGAATGACGCCAATATGGTTTATTTGAGTCCATCGTGTTAGACGATGTCTCTCCTTATGCTTAAAATTAGTGTTTGCTAAAAATAAGTGATCGTTTGAGCACAGTTGCCCCAGACGATCACCATTATCTGCTCGCTGAGCCGGAATAATAAAATACCCGCTTAGGTGTCTTTCTGTTTGGTTTAAGCTACCTACATGGGCATTAAAATCACCTGCTGCTAGTACTATGTCTGAGTGTTTAGCTTTATGAAGTTCATAAACATTTCTGTAAAATTTATCGTTCAATTCATCCGGGCTGTAGACAATGGCAGCGTAAACAGAAACGATGCAAAGGCAACGACTTGTGTCCCTATCCTTCCAAGTTCTTACTCAGCCGTTTGACGGAAGAGCACATAGGCGACTGTAAACAGGGACCCATCCCAATGGCGCATGTTCTTCCCTCGTACTTAGTGCTATGCAAACACCTGCCAGTCTATGAGAACTAGCCATCAGGTCGCCAGCAACACGGAGGGTGTACCTCGTCGGCTCTCCGTTTTGGCGAGGTGAGGTTAATTGAATGAGCACACTAGGACCCTGTATGCCCGGTTCGGAGACACAGCAAACGTCAATGGTACGAAATTGTAGGGTCTTAACCGAGAAGGCCTGCTGGCCGACTTGACACAGGCTGAGTACGTTGAAGGCTCCATTGTATACTTTAGAGCAAGGTTTCAGTAGACCTGGGACAGTGTTTCGCGCACTAGAGTCGTTGGCCATGGTGACACTTGAGGAGGAAGCCGAAAGAAGAAGTTCAGAGTTGAAAGTCGACGTAGGAGGAATAACACAAATTGAAGAAGGAGATTGATTATGAATGCAGTGATCTTGAGAGCTGTTAGAGGTATGAGGGCAGTTAACACTTTTCGGTTGCCCACATCATGGAACGGTTCCTCTGAAGGTACCTGAAAGGAAAATTGGGTTAGAGGTGGTCTTAGTAGTCTGAGAGCGTAACCGCAGTGCTCAAGTGACAACTGCTTGAGGTCGGTCACACACAGCCTTTTTCGTATTAGCTCCGTACTTGTTGGAACCTTAACGCCGGAGAGGAACATCCGTAGGATAAAGTGAGATGTGCATTTTTAGGGTCAACCTGTTCTAACTCCACTCTTCCTCGTGAGAAGGCAGCAATCACTGTTATGCTGGTTGTCTGAAACACCTTACTACTGTCATACCTCTGTACAGTCAGCAGTACGACTTCACCCTCAAACCGTGGGTTTGCTGCTTTTAGTCTTACTGCTTTTTAACCGACCTGTCTGGCATGGTAGGACCTTGCGGAACGATTGTTCCAGCCAGTATAGCTAAATTAGTTCATTACGATAGGCAAGTTCGACTACCACGTCAAGGTAGCAGCAGCAATCTCAGCCTACCATACATTGTTATTTTAAGCAATTCTTTAGCACTTTTTAGTTGATAAGCCCCCAAATGCCCTGGTACGGTCGAGAGTGGGGAGAGTCCGCTCTCCCTCTCAAAATGCTCTCACATGGTCACGCGTATATAGCCTCTGCCAGGGAAGTCCTACTCATTGCCTTCTCGTGGCGGGGGTGTTGTTTACGAAAATGAGAGGACGAAAAGCGAATGTCTGGCGCTTTAACCGGATTCCAAATCAATGGTGCACATGGGCTCCAGTATCCTGCGGGAACAAATGGCGTATGAACCAATTGTTGGTCACCGGCTTCCATAGGACTGCATCTCCTTACGATGCTCCACTGCCTTGTGGATTAGACCCTCAGGTCAAAGGCTCGGGGTGTGGCCGCCTAAGAAAACCACTTGTTTCGGTTTGGGCACCCGGGCAGTATCACAGCCCTCACACATATCGAATGAGATTTATGTGGCGCATATGTATTCGATGCCTCTTTGTACAAATATCTGTGTTGAAATAAAATAAATAAATTTAGTTAATAAAGTCGTGATCAATTAAATGAACACTAGGTTACAGTAATACGCTGAAGATATGAATGGAGTAATGGAACGAAACTTACCAACAAAAAGTCGAAGTTTACGAACATCATCTTCCTTAGGCATTTGACCAGCCCCTTTATAAGCAATGCTAGATTTCATTTTAGTGTCTAAATTAGTATCAGTTTTTAATCCTGTTAAACGATTTGTAGAACTTGTTACAAGTTCTTGGAATAGATCTCGCCGGCGGCTCATACGTTTCTCTTCAGCAGTTTGTTCATTCTTAGAAAAAAAAGTGGAGGGGGGAAGGGAACAAAATAGTTATTCAGTTTATATGGTTGGAAAGGGCATGAATAAGTTATCCACCCGCAATAACAAATGATTGAAAGGAAGTTTGACGAGGATTACAAATTTAAATACCACGCGCTTAGTGCAAACCTTGAAGGTCCTCGTTTACATTTATGTCCGGATTGTCGGCGATAACAGTTGAGTAGTCCCACATCGACACAAAACAGATGTATATTATTCGGTATTTTTAAAGACATTACTATCTGGGATCAAAATCTGTGACGAATTAAACAATGATCTTTTTATACGGCTAGAAAAATTTCCATAGATAGATCGGGACCCAAAACCAGAGACTGATTCACAGATTACCATCCACATCTGTATTTGTAAACAGATCTAGCCATTAAATATATATATTACTGTATTATAAAATTGGGCATGACAATTTATTCGTTTTTAAACTATTTAGTCTCGAAGAAAACAGATATATATGCAAAATCAGCAATATCACATATCAAATTATAGTCAGTCACAGGTAAACAACAATTTTAAACGAATGAAACAACACTATGGAAATATTTTACAATCGTCGTTTACTTATTCGACTTGCTTACCAAGTTGGTATAGATAAATGTATATGATTTCAAGCCACATTTTGAATGTGAATGAAATCTAGTAATACTACCCGGTTTCCCAAAACTGAAGTAAATATTGATAATAAGCAGAAAAACGTCACAAACACCAGCTCCCAAATATCCTAGTATGGCCAAGGGTCGGGAGAATTTGCTCTCCCCCCTAAAATCGCACATGACCACGGGAAAATCCTACTTATTACCTTCTCGTTGTGAGGGTGTTGTTTAAGAAATTGAGGACGAAAAGCGCTTAAATCAGGTTTGCGTATACAGAGGGTTTACCTAAGGGAATCGGAAAATCTTGATTCTACACCAACGGTGAACGTGTGCTCCAGGATCATGAAGGAACATATTGCGCATAATACTATTCCTTGTCACCAGTTATTATGGGACCGCATCTCCTAACTTTGCTCTACTGCCTTGTCGACTAGATCTCTAAGTCAAAGGCTCAGAGAGTGGCCATCTAAGAAGAAAACGTTTGGTTTGAGCACCCAGGTAAATTTTATGATAACTACTTTCTTTGTGTGTTTCACATATATTTTGGTGCCCTTTTGTGCCAATGTTTGTATTTAAATAAATAAATAACACAAACATCACAATGATGATTGAGCAGTATCTACCATATATCTAAACTGTTTATTAATTAGTACTACCGTTATCAATATTACTATGATTATTATTTTAAATGGACAGGTCAGAACACCGTTTCCGACAGTCATCTCTTGTCTAACATTAATAATAAGGATACTGAAAAAAGAATCAAAGATAATTAGTCGTTACATAAGCATAGTGTATTAAGATTTCACGTAAAGTTGGATTTTTTTCACGGATATGCAATTCTAGTGAGTTATTACCATCATGCATAAAATAAATTATCTACTGCTTACTCGAGTTTTCTGTTCAATAATAGCACGACGATGTCCGCGACCCAATAATTCTTGTGCAGCATTCACACCAACACTGCCATCACCATTTGGGATAGACTGTTTTTTGGAAATAGCAACTGCACTAGTACCATTTGTCGAACGTGTACTCTGTGGATGTCTACTGCTAGTATCTCTTTTTCCAACATTTCTAGTCTCTTCTTCTTCGTCTTCTCCTTCATCGTCTTCCTCTTCCTCTTCATCTTTTATATACAAGCTGATTGATTTCGGTCGACGTTTCGCAGTTAAAGTATACACTAAATTCTCACCGGTATTTCCAACACCAACAGCTAGCACATCACCTAACCAAAGTGCATAATTTTTCTCAGCTTGAGATTTACCAAGACTATTTATTAAATTCTAAGCAAGAAAAACAAACAAATGAACAGGTAAAACACTACAAAACATAAAAAATAGATTGGAATTATCCCATTAATTACCACTAATAGGTTTGATTGAATACATAATAATATGTTATATCGTTGATTGTCGATGTAGACCATAATTACACATTAAAAGTAGTTAACGGAAATAGTAGTAATGTAATTTACTTAGTAATCAACTAGTCATAAACTTTGTACGAAGATTAGTGATACATATAACCTCGTAACAATAACCACAGAAGGTAATTTGTGTATGAGGAATATCAATGTTTATTGGGAAGAAAAACGAGCTTCATGTGAGGTTTTGTTCTGTAGCAAGATATTTTATTCGTATCTCACTTATCAGTTTATTTTTAAAGATTCGTTCTGTAACTACATTAAGCTAGCAACGGTTTTCTAAAACTTTCAAATGGTTAATCTTAACGTCTCTGTTGAACATAACTTTTGAGATATCAGATGGGGGAGGGTGATTGTATATTTTATGTGTGAATCATCAACCTTTTTCCTTACAGCTTAGTGACAATTCATTATACATACGTATCTGTATTTACCGTTTAAAACGTAACATGTCAAGATCTTGGAGAATTATTAGTATGCGGTTGAATATACTCAAAGAATGACATGAAAATAGATAACTCAATACCGGAAATATAAATTCAGAGCACAATCTATGGATTAGCATAACCATGAAGTAGTTGAACGCGTCGACAACTTCATTTATCTTGGAAGTCTGATCAACCCTAATGAGTTGGTGTCTGACGAAATCTCTGCACGGATTCAGAAAGCTCGTTTGGCTTTTGCCAACCTACATCACCCATGGCGAAGGCAAGAGATCCATCTATCAATTAAGGGGCGAGTATACTGTGCATCCGTTGGTTCTGTTTTACTTTACGGTTGCGGGACGTGGCCGTTAAGGGTAGAGGATACTATTAGTTACTAGTACTAGTTACTAGTATTTGATTACTGATGTCTTAGAAATACTGCTCGCATTTGCTGGGATCACTGGGTAAGTAGTAGTGAGGTTAGACACAGGGTATTAGGGAATAATGGTAAATCAGTTGATGAGGTTGTCAATCTTCGTCGACTGAGATGGTTGGGCGAAATGTTACGTATGCCTGAACATTATTTACCACGACGCGCAATGCTGACTAGTGTCAGAGACGGCTGGGAAAAAGTTGGGGGTGGCCAAACCAAAACGTGGCATCAGTCCTTGAAATCACTAACTTCTGGTCTTAGCCATGTTGGTAGATGCGGACTACTCGGTTGGGGTCCGCACGACTATTGTAACCAATGGTTGGAGAATATGAGTGACATTGCTCAGAATCGACCACAATCGCGTAGGTGTATACACTTTGTCTTCTCTTAAACTGTGAGATTAAAATTACTTTATACCTTCCTTTTTACAAACTAATTCTTTCTCCCTGCATCATATTCTTACTCACAATCTTACTTCTATATATCACTATCATTGAAGTAACTACTATGAATTTTGTGTTCATCTTGTTGTGCTAATTGGGTATGGCAACTTAAACCGATGCATTCATGTGCCTGCACACACACCGATTTATCCTTTTTTTCAAGTCACATTTTGACCTTGCTAATTATTCGCTTAACTTCGACTGTTTTTATATGAACGTATGTGTATGTATTGCTTGTCCTACTCATCACATGTCTGTCACTTAATTTTTTCTGACTATAATTATCGAGTCACGCTTGGTAAAATCGAGTTGGTTCACTCGCCTTCTCCGCTCCGCTTCTTAGTCTGAATGTCTATCTGGGTAAGCGAATGCTTGAAATAAGTTTCTCCAATACAACCCGTATCTGGCTTCTTATTACCACCGTCATACAAACGGGGTTAGCCCAGATAATATAGGGAGTTAAATAGAATATTTGTTCATAACATATTCAAAAGTTCATCCAAATCGGAGCCAGATCAGCGGGCCACAAAATGTTTACAATGCTTTACCAAAAACATTAAGATCAAAAGGGGAAACGGCGTGAGAAAAAGAGATTTACCAAAATCCATCATAATAATGGTAAAAAAACTGCGATGACACCACAATGTTCAGATGACATTTTATGAATATTTAAGCGACCTTGAGAAACTCCAGTCACTCATTGAACTGTAAATAAGGTTATGAATCAATATGAGAGATCAGGAGTTCGGGTTAGGAATTAGAAATAGTTTCCATAACGAAATAACATAAGTCATAATGCCAGACTACTATTTCGTTTTGAGGACAAATTGATTTTGCGCTAAATCCAAGATGTACTATCTGAAATATGATGGGTTTGTCTATAAATTATAGTCTCACGAAAATTACTTTCAGAAAACAAAGAACAGGAACAGGATAATGATGGTGCTAAAAAATATTCTTCCGTTTTAGGTTAAACTCATTGGAAGATTAGATTTCGTAAGCATCTTGGCTTGACTGTATTACGACATCGTTTCAGTGGTAATTGAAGTTGACAAAACAATTACTGGACAATAAATCAGTAAGATCATCGAAGTTCTATGTTCTCTGAGCCGGATTGTTTAATGGTAAAACTTTCATTGCCTTTCTAGACATTAAATCAATAAAACTAATGTATAGTAGCGTAAAAACTGATGAACATTAATTGTTGTAACCAACCCAGATGAATGAGAAACTATCAGTAAACTTTCAGTCTTTAGGTGATGAGATCAGTTTCAAGCGCCTTAGCAATCAATCATTAACTTTTCATATGATTGTGTAATAACGTAAAATCAGTTTAATTTGGAGAAAGTTAACAAACAAAATACAACAACACATGAAAATCTATTTTATGATGGGATGCGCACACATCTAGTTAGGTACGAATTCACTTTAAACGACTAACCTGGAAGCCTAAATTGAAATTTAGTGTCATTCCTCGACGAAATGTTGATGCAGATTTAGGTGATAATAATAAATTACTGTCTCGAAATTCAATCCCCGTTACAAATCTAGAGAAAAAAATTGTACACAGTGTAAGTAGGTACCACTAAGCTATCAAAAGATTGAAAAAACTTTTGCCAGCATTCATTGTAACATGATAACAAGTAGAACAGGTTGATTGAAACATCTGTTTACCCAAAAACTATGACCATCACAGAATACAATGAACAAAGGAACATCTGAAACTAAGTCAATGATACATTAGTCAAGAAAACATGATGGAAGAGCTCCGTCCTTTGAAAACAACTAGGAAAATTTACATTCACTTGTAATTTATTTTATAAAATTTCTTGCATTTGCCAATATTCTCGCAAATCTCCTAATCATTTACCGCTGTTCAAATTGTCGTACTCTCAATGGTTTTCTGATGCTGTAATTCACGAGAAAATCGTAGATGAATTTATACACAACTGCTATACACTTAACGGTAGTCAATCGAGGGAAAATATTCATTTTGATCAAACAAGGTCGCATTAGTTGAAATTTGCACTTCTACTACAATACTAAAGAATAATATTTCCCTACTAGCAGTAAAATTTATGTCCCTACAAATAGCGATCTCGTCAATCTATATTTCCTAGTATTTTTAGGATCATTGTGGCGAGTCGAAAACATGATTGAGATCAAGAAACAAGTCAAACATCAAAATGATTGGTAAGTTGTTAAGTTTCCAGCTCTCAGATCAAAGCGGACCTTTGAGTAGGAAATCATCTCACTGTTTACAGTTAGATCACTACTATATCAGATTTGGGTAACTATCTGTAATAAAGACTATTAAAATAGTTAGAACAGGAACTGTTATAATGTATCCTTCTCACTCAACCCGGTTATTGTAGTTGTTAAGAAGCCAAGTGGACTTTTGGAAAAGATAGAATAGAAGAGGAGCAATAGGTTATTACAAAGCAATATATTTTTTCTGTAGATCTTAAAAAGTTAGTGGAAATAAACTATTAAGCTATCTAGAGACGACAGGTTTTAGCATCAAAACCACTTTGATAAGGACGACATGAAGAGATGAGAGACGATGAGTGAATAGATTATTCTAAGCAACAACGGTTACCGATAATTCAAAAACAACAGGGAAGTGGTGAATAAGTACATACATAGTCGTCTATCATAACTGAAAGGTAACAGATATACTGAGTTATAAATTGTACATTTGGCACAAAAGTTGACTAAGCTCCCATGATAACAAATGCTTAGCAAGTAAACGTTTATTTACTCGGGCTTGAGCAACACTTACATTTATTTACGCAACTATTCAACCTGAAGGGAATGCATGCTAACCGGTGTTGGAAATGGTTGGAAGAAAGTTAGGGGCGGCCAAACCAAAATGTGGCATCAGTGCTTGAAGTCACTAACTTCTAGTCTGAGCCATGTTGGTAGATGCAGACTACTTGGTTGGGGTCCGCGTGACTATCGTAACCAATGGTTGAAGACTCTTGGTGACATGGCTCAGAATCGATCACAATGGCGTCGGTGTATACACTTCCTGTCTTCCCTTAAACTAAGAGATTAAAATCGCTTCATATCTTTCTTTCTACTAACCAATTCTTTCTTCTTGTACTATATCTCTATATGCAATCTTTCTCTTATATATTACCACCTTTTACCTAACCACTGTTATGAATCCGGTGTTCATCTTGTTGTGCTGATGCGGTATGGCAACCTGGACCGATGCACATATGTGCCTGGTCCTACGTTGTAGCTGACTGACTGACTGAAGGGAATGCAGAGATCAAACCGGTAACTTAGTTTCGAAAATCTAATACTTCAACTAATAAACCTGTGCTTCGATAGGGATTCAAAAGTCAATGTATATTGTGTTTCGAATTAATTACTTAAATCGAGTTAAAGAGTTCACCATAATCTTCCATACGAAAAAATACTTCTAAACTATGAGGAAATAAAGGAACACCACAAACTTAAAACATATTACACTAACCCGTAATTGCGTAGGAGGTTTTCAGCTAATTTAGGACGTTCAGTCGACACTTTGTTTGCAATAGCCTGACAGAAATCTGATATTTTAACACCTATAAACGTGAGAAAAAGTAATAAATTATATCTTAACATTGCGATGCAAACCATCTTGTATACTTGTCAATAACAAAAATGTCTTTACATTCTCGACCATACGTATAATATTGTCCTGACAATTTCATCTTTCTGTGTTAATGGAATATGAGAACTTGAACCGATGCACGTATGTACCTGGTTTCACGTTGTGTATGACCGACTGACTGATAATACATACATACTCGGATAAAATGACGAGAGGATTGCATGTTGGAGTAACATAGGTACGATGTAATGGGAAGGTGAAATACAGTTGACTTTATTTAACGGTGAACGCAGACAACCCTTTATTCTTTTTGTATTTGTATCTCCTAAAGTTGCTCCAAGTAAATTATTCTTAGCGATTTATTTATTTATTTGAATACATAAATATTGGTACAAGAGGGCATCAAATATATATGCGATTTAATTATTCACATTACTAATCAAGCTAAAACGCTTTACATGTCTTTTCTAAAACCAAACTTCAACGTTTTTTCAGGCTGTGAATAAAAGAAAACTAAACACCATAAGCCAACAAATTTACACATGTATATGCACAAATTATGAATGAAAATATATGACTGGTAGAGGAATAGATATATACATAATGAATGGCCTTGGAAAAAAGTGGATTTATTAACCTAGAAGTTTTTCGTAACATTGCATAAACAATATCAACCGAAATCTAAAAATGTTCTTTTAAAAACTATGAAAATGTTAAATGAGAAAAAAAAGGTAAATAGTGACTGGACGTGAGCGGCTTTGATCGATGGTTGGGTATTATCCTGAATCTCGAGTCAATGATTTACAGCATCAACAGTATTCATTTAAAACATCTATAACTTTCTATTCGGCACACAGTAGTAGTTTTATGGACTAGTAACATTTAGACAATTTTTCACTGTTCACTGTTCCACTCGGTTGATTACCAATCCTTAATGAAGAAATCAACCCCTCATACTACATATAAGCGTAAATACATGTAAATTTGTTCTTACTTCACAAAAGACTAAACTATATTTCATTTTACTTGTACGCTTATTGACTGGGAGAAATAAATTAGTTTTTCTAGTCAACTAGAGGAATTTCAGAAATTGTAGTCATTATTTAGGTTGAAGTCTCGAATAAATAAATACGTGTTACAATAATATACTATTCTTACGAAGATATCTGGTCGAAGGAACACCAACGAAATGAATAGCGAGTTGGATTTCTCAGCTTGTTATTTCATAAGAACCTAGCAGTTTACGAAAAATGGCCACTAGAACCTAAGAGTATTTATAATGATAGCAATGAGAAACAAAAACTGTAGAAAAAAGTGTACTCTCACTTGATTCTGAAGAATACAACATACAGCTTCAGTAAGACAAGTGAATGTTTAGCCAATTTACGGGTATTTTGAGATTATGGAATAAGATTAAATATTTATCCAAGTTATATGAAAAAATAACTTCTTGTACTAGTTATACAGGGCAGGCAAGGCACACAAGAAAACCTAGAATCGCACATAATGTATGATAAAACATATGACTTTTGGAATACTTACCCGGTTTAATTTGTTCTATACACCAATCAAATAGATCATGTAAATAAGTGTAATTCGCGGACTGCTCATCTGTAGGATTGACCATGAGAGAACGGATTACATTAGAACAATAGGACTGATAACGCGCTCCTAAGGAGCAAATAATAATCCCGAAATGAAGAGTCCGGGTGTCACTAAAATAATTCCAAGGAGCACGTAAATAAAATTAACTCCATAGTTAATATTCAGTAGCAAGAAGTATAACCAATGAATGACAAATTGAAGTGAGCTATAAAGCATTTTAGTGCGAAACTAGTAAGACATCATCCTAACTTCCACAGTACATTTTACAAGTTTTAAGTCACAACAACGGCCGAGTTAATCGTAAATAAAGTTAAACAATTACCAAGAACAAATAGGGAACCAATGGAGGAAGTGGTCAGGAATCACAAATGTACAATCTTCCTTAAATAATGAGTCTTTAACATACATTTGGAATGAAAGAATTGGTAGTATAATTTAGCTATAAGTTGAAGCCTCGAACTGATTGACCATACAAACCAGTCAGGTACTGAGTTAAAACTTTATTTAAATTACTCATGGTCTACTCATCTCTTTGTCAACGTCATCAAGTGCTTTCACTCTGTGCCTATGGAAGGTGATTTCACAGTTAAATCATATACCAGTAGAAAGAAGTAGTTAGCCAAGTATAAGATGCTATCTAATCTTTACACGCTGATAAAACATTTATACTAGCGGACCCGAAAATAAGTACGGTCTTCATCTAACATCTACGTAGTAGATATATAAAATAAGGAAAAAATAACAGTGAACTGTAACGAAAGTAAATACGTGATAAATAAGACTGGTGAACTGAGGGTAAAGAGAACCTTGTAATTACAATATTTTAGTGAAATGTCACTAATCAAGTAGCCGTATTCTTACTGTTCGGTCTGACGTACAAGTGCAAAACTTAGTTTCGAGCTACAATATTTATATGAGGGCCAGGGACTAGTGATATTCTGCAGAATGTGTTAAATGTGAAAAAAACCCATCTGAGTGAAGTTTTCTTACTACTTTTAAATAAGAATGAAGGTGACCAGAAATAAGTGAATGATAATAATCTTGCAAACAGCATTTTAGTGACTATACGCAAGCTAGACCTGAAAGTGCTAAAACTGCTTCCATGTAAATTGTCTTTGACGATTTCTATAGAAAGTTTCCTGACCTCTCTTTTTACTCATTAATATCAATTTGGTTTGGGTTTCCCATTCTTAAGTTAATCCTAGTGATTCAGTCAGTCAGCTACAACGTAGGACCAGGCACATATGTGCATCGGTCCAGGTTGCCATACTGCATCAACACAACAAGATGAACACCGGATTCATAACAGTGGTTAGGTAAAAGGTGGTAATATATAAGAGAAAGATTGCATATAGAGATATAGTACAAGAAGAAAGAATTGGTTCGTAGAAAGAAAGATATGAAGCGATTTTAATCTCTTAGTTTAAGGGAAGACAGGAAGTGTATACACCGACGCCATTGTGATCGATTCTGAGCCATGTCACCAAGAGTCTTCAACCATTGGTTACGATAGTCACGCGGACCCCAACCAAGTAGTCTGCATCTACCAACATGGCTCAGACTAGAAGTTAGTGACTTCAAGCACTGATGCCACATTTTGGTTTGGCCGCCCCTAACTTTCTTCCAACCATTTCCAATACCGGATAGCATTGCACGTCGTGGTAATCGGTGTTCAGGAATACGTAACACGTGGCCCAACCATTTCAGTCGATGAAGATTCATAACCTCATCAACTGATTTACCATCCTTTCCTAATACCCTGAGTCTAACCTCACTATTACTTACCCGGTTATCCCAGCAGACGCCAGCAATATTTCTTAGGCATCTGTGGTCAAATACTAATAGCTTACGAGTGTCTTCTACTCTTAATGGCCATGTTTCGCTGCCGTAAAGTAAAACAGAACTGACTGCCGCGCAGTATACTCGTCCTTTTATTGATAGACGGATATCTCGCCTTCGCCACAGGTGACGTAAGTTGGCAAAAGCCAAACGAGCTTTTCGAATCCGTGCTGAGATTTCGTCCGATACCAGCCCATTAGGGCTGATCAGACTTCCAAGATAAGTGAAGTTGTCAACGCGTTCGACTACTTCACTCCCTATCCTTAGTTCAGGTGTTAACGCAGACCAGTCCTGAAGGAACAACTTGCATTTAGAGGGAGAGAAGCGCATTACAAGCATCCTGGCATTGTTGCTCAGTGCTACCAGAAGACTCTGCATTTTGTCAGAGTCTTCACCAAACAGGACTATATCATCTGCGTATTCTAAGTCGATAAGTGGACCTCCTGGAAGGAGATCAATACCCGAGAACTTAGTCGACGAGAAAGTTATTTCCATCAGTAGATCTATGATGAAGTTAAACAAAAATGGGGAAAGTGGACATCCTTGACGGACACCACTTGAGGTTGCAAAACTAGATGACAGTTCGCCATAAGCTCTCACTCGACTAGTAGTGTTCGAGTAAAGAGCCTTCACAAGGTTTATGTACTTCTGGGGTACGCCTTTCAATGACAGACACTGCCACAGAACCTCGCGGTCTACTGAGTCAAATGCTGCTTTTAAGTCAAGAAAGACCACCATCGTCGGACGCCGATAAGTATGCCCGTGTTCTAGAACCTGACAAATGGTGAATATGTGGTCGATGCAGCCACGACCAGGTCTGAAGCCAGTTTGATTTTCTCGTGTTTGCAGTTCACGAGTTTTAGTTAGGCGTCTGATTATTATTGAGGCTAGTATTTTAGATATTATATTAGTTAAACTAATCCCTCTGTGGTTGTCACAGGATGATTTTGACCCTTTCTTATATATTGGGACGATAAGTGATTGTGACCAGTCAGATGGAATAACGTCTAACTCCCAGATCTTAGCTAAGATATTAGTCAACCTAATCGCTAAAATTGGACCACCATCCTTAAAGACTTCTGGAGCCAGTCCATCTGGACCAGCAGCCCTTCCTCGTTTCAGATTATCTATAGCCTTTTGAACTTCAGCAAGAGTTGGGGGACCTACTTCAATGTTCCATTCACGCTGTCTGGGAATGGAGGGTAGTTGTAGAGTAGCTGAAGGCCAGCTGAACTGTTCTCTGAAATGTTCAGCCCATCGTTCTAAACGCCTGGACTGGGAGCAGATGAGTGTATCGTCTTTTTCCGATATAATCTCACTTACACTTGACTTATTAATTCCAGTTTCTTTTATTAGTCTGTAAAGCTGTCTTGTGTTCCCTATAGTCGCTGCCTTTTCCATCTCTTTTGCTTTCGTTGCCCACCACTGCTCACGGTCGTTTCTTAGACTCTTTCTTAACCTAGATCTGATTTGTTGTCGCTCTTCATCATGTTCGGAACCTGATGGGACGAGTTTGCGAGAATCCATCAGTGTGATAGACTTTGAAGAAATCCACTGGTCCTTTGAAACTCTGTGGTTTAAGTTGCTAATAGATGTCACTGCTGCTTCCACAGCTGCTTGTATGTCTTTCCAAGCAACATCTGGGTCAGCCTCGTTTTCAGAACTACCTAAGTGTGAACTCAGTTGTTCTTGGAACCTATTTTTGGTTTTCTCGTTACTCAATTCAGTTCTAATGGGTCTTTTTAATGTGGCTTTTTTGCGTCCGGTGAGGCGCAAGCAGATGCGTGCCCGTATTAGGGCATGGTCGGAGTCCAAGCAGGTACTCCAGAATGAGCGACAATCTTCCACCGACCCTCTCCAACGATGACTGATGGCAATATGGTCTATTTGAGTCCATCGTTGGTTTGGTGTAGGGGGTCGCCATGTTAGACAATGTCTTTCCTTATGCTTAAAATTTGTATTTGCTAAAAATAAGCGATTGTTTGAGCAAAGTTGCAGCAGACGATCACCATTATCTGTTCGCTGTGCCGGAATGCTAAAATATCCACCTAAATGCCTTTCTGTTTGGTTTAAGCAACCTATCTGAGCATTAAAGTCACCTGCTACGAGTACTATGTCTGAGCGTTTAGCTTTCTGGAGAAGTTCAGAAAGCTTTCTGTAAAATTCATCCTTCACTTCATCTGAGCTGCAGTCAGTGGGAGCGTAGGCAGAAACGACAAAAAGGCAACGACGTGTGTCCCTATCCTTCCGAGTTCTTACGGAGCCGTTTAGCCGAACAGCACATAGACGACTGTTGACGGGGATCCACTCTAGCAGTGCTTGTTCCGCCCTCATGCTTAGTGCTATGCCTACACCTGCCAGTCCACGAGAACTGGCCATCGGGTCACCAGATACACGTAGGGTGTATCTCGTTGGCTCTCCGTTTTGCCGAGGTGAGGTCAAGTGAATGACTACACTGGAATCCTGTATGCGTGTTTCGGAGACACAGCATACATCGATGGAAAGAGACTCTAGGGTTTTAGCCAAGGAAGCCTGCTGACCGATTCGACATAGAGTGCGTACGTTGAAAGCTCCAATGTGTAGTTTGGAGCGAGGTTTCAGTAGACCTCGGACAGAGTTTTGAGCACTAGAATCGTTGGCTATGGTGACACTTGAGGAAGAAGCCGAAGGAGGAAATTTAGGGTTGAAAGTCGATGTAGGAGGAATAATAGGAATTGAAGAGGAAGGTTGATTATGAATACAGTGGTCTTGGGTGCTGTTAGATGTATGAGGGCGGTTATCACTTCCCGGTTGCCCACACCGTGGAAGGGTTCTTCTGGAGGTACCTGAAAAGGAAATTGGATTAATGTTGGTCTTGACGACCCGGGAGCGTGACTGCAGAGCCCAAGGGACAACTGCTTGAGGCCGGTCGCACACGGCCTTTTTGTGGAAGGTTTTTGACGTGTTAGCTCCGTTCTTCAGATGGCCTTACCGCCGGAGACGGAAATCCGTGAGGTAAGGCGAGGTGTGCATTTTTAGGGTAGACCTTTTCTAACCCCACCCCTCCTTGTGGGAAGGCAGCATCGCTGTCATGCTGGTTGTCTGAAGGAAACACCCTACTGCTGTCACACCTCTGTACAGTCAGCAGTACGACTTCGCCTTCGGACCTTAGGTTTGTTGCTTTTAGTCTTACCGCTCTTCAACCGACCTGTCTGACACGGTAGGACCTTGAGGAACGGTTGTTCCAGCCAGTATAGCTCGGTTGCTTCATCACAATAGGCAAGCCCGACCACCACGTCAAGGTAGCAACAACGGTCGGGAATCCTAGTGATTATTCACAAGCGTGTTGAATGAATAACTAATTTTCAGTTACTATTGATCATTCATTACGTTCTTAAAACGTTTACAGGCATATGACAAAAAGAATAGGTAGTTAAGTGAAAACTTCTTAAATATCATCAGTCGAATTGATTCGAAGTTCTCACTGAAAATCTATTAAAAATCACAGACAGATATAATGAAGTAACAAGGAAAAGCGATATAATTTTTCTGTGACAGTTTAGAGTAGTAATTATGTTGATCACTTAAGACGATTATTGAGTTTTGTCAACAGATTATCCACAATCTGAAAGACAAATCAAATACAGGAAAATTGTCATTCGTGAGCAGAATCCAGAACAGTAAGTAGTGAATAGAATGACCCACACTAACATAGTCTTCACAATCAACAGGGAGATAAACGGTAAATAGACTTATGTTACTCTGACTAACCGACTAAATTACATCAAATAGTGAAGATTAAAATGAGTAGGATGAGATTGAACTTGCAAATGTTAAATGCGATACAAAACTAGTGGAATTTTAAATTAATCTGTTTGGATATTATTATTAGGAGAAAAAGCATGAAAAACTCACCTTTCAATGCTAAATTTAAGATTATACGTTCCTCCACTTTGAATAATTGGATCATAACACATTTCCACATTATCAGGATCTAAACCTGACAGAATATTTGAGTTTTTTAGTGCGGTTTGACAACCACTAGAAAGCTTTTCATGTTTAACTTTCTACAGATGAAGTACCAAAAAATAAATTAGGCTACAACTTAATGATTCCAAACATACGATAAATACAAATTTAGTGGATAACGTTTATACTTCACTCGAAGATTAGTTTAATGACCAATCACATAGTCGACTTTATCCAACTAATTGAGGTTCTTGATCGACAGTATCAAACAGCTGACTTAATTTGTAGCATTTCAAGTTCAGTCAAGATCTTTAAATTGATAATCAGTGAGCTCATGAAACAAAATCATGCGTACATATGACTAATTTCAGGCTTTGTTTAAATCATAATCCAATTATCAATGAACATCATAATATCTTGATACAACAGAGGTACGACAGATGTACCAGCTTCCATAAATCCTCATCCAAATGAAGTAATTATCCTAGAATTCTACCACCTATTGATAAGCATGATGACAACAGATAAATTACGGTATGCCATTTTTAAACGTAACACATGGAGGGTATGCATATTAGGCACACTTTGATTTATAAAATACTAAGTCTTCAAAGGAAATCGAATGGCATTGAGCGGAAAGAATTCATTTTTCCAATCGTAACAGTCACCAACGCACTCTTCACTTAACTTGAGCATTTCAAGCCTGGTGATTCTGGCATACACGATTAATGTTTCGAAGACGTGACCGAACCCCAGCAACCCATCAAAGCGAAATGCCTAAGGGGGGTCTAAGCTAGAGAACTGGATTTATTGTTCTGAAGGTTAATGACAACTGACCTTCCGTCTTCATGAGTCCATTAGTAATGAAAATAGAACCTGAGCCAAGTATCGGCCAGGTTTTTAGACTATATAAACACAGGAGGATGAAGTTAATAAGTACATTAAACGAGTTGAATTAGTTTTCTATTACTGACATAGTTCGAAATGAAAAGGTTAATCCGAGGAAAATTATGAAATGTCATCTTATCTATTTATTTGGACACAAATATAAGTAAAATAGGCACGGAATACATATGAGACAAACAGGTCACTTAATTCATATGTAGGCTGTGATACTACCTGGATAACTAAATTGAAGCAGGTGGTTTTCTTAGGGAGCCACACCCTGAGCCTTTGACCTGGAGGTCTGATCCACAAGACAGTGAAGCAACGTTGGGAGATGCAGTCCCATGGTAACCGGTGACCAACAATAGGCCTATACGCCATTTGTTCTTTAGGTTCCTGGGGCCCATTGGTAGAGCCTATATGATACAACCATAGCATTTTGTAAAGCTATAAAAGGATTATTACTATTTAAATACTCTATTTCATTGGAGTTTTCAGTAAGCAGAACTGCAGTATTTGTTAACACTCAGTTACAGTCATCAAATAGTTTAATCTCTGAATCACACAAAGCGCTAGTAAAAAGAGCATACCTACGATAGTACCAGGTAAAAATGGGGAGTGAGGCACCATGATGAAAACTATCCAATGTTACTAAATTCAACCACAGATCATCGAAACCTTAACGACTGTTAGTGATCAACAAGAGGCCTTGATAGGTAGACATAATTTTTGGCGCACTGATTTTACAGACTTGGTTTTCAAGTTGTCAAATAAAAATATTCAATACTACGATGTCACGAAGCACTAGAATAGCTCATATTTATCCCTCACTTTTGATGAAAAATAGTCAAATCCTGTTAATTTGTTAGCTTACATTTTAATAGGGTTTGTCTCAACACATTGTATTTGGTACCAGGCAGTAATTAACTATCCTGAACGTGATAAGCTGTCTATCAACGGAACAGCGATCTTTTTCCTTTAAGATATGGACATATAGTGCGAGCGTGGCTATTGTTGTCAGGATTTTTTGTCGCTTTGGCAGCATATATTGAGTTTAAATCGTTCATGAATGATTACTAAACAATAATAATTACATGATGTTCTGAATCAAATAATTTACGGATAACTATTTTATGCACACTGAAAATTCATTGCTTACTCTGTCTGAATCAATGACGTCCATAATTTGCTCTTTTAGATGTTTAGTGAAAAGATTGCACGTAATATCACAAGCTTTTTTCAAGAGTATTAATTCTGTTTCATCCTTGGTAGCTAGGATTTCACTGATGGAGTTAGAGATGTCAACAAGTTGAAACTTTTCCTCTTGCAAGGATGACATGAAAGATTCAGTGAGCTCTGATATGAATTTATCTTTGGCCAAATGACCCACTTTATTATTCTTTGCACCGGACTTGATACAATCAACTAGCTTCTTTAGGCCTGCCTTATCTTTGTCAGACTGCGCAAAATATAGTTCTACATCTAACTTACTGGGTTTCTTGGGATTAGAACGACTGTTCGATTGCCAAAATGACGGTTTTCTAAGGGATGTAAGAAATCCAACTTTTTTTTTCCACACAACACAATCATTGACTGTTTATTGAATACAATTACAGTGTCTTGCAACTCATATCCAAAAAGCCACATCTATGTACATATATATATGAAGAGTGAAAATACTAAATTTACGTGTAGTGATAAGGTTTTTCCGTATACACTATCCACTTTCCCAGCTGGTACAACTATAGACTCTACATCATGAAGTTGACTATTGGTGTCCTTGAGAGATGAAATAATCAGTAAGAAATCAATTAGGTCTTTACCTCCCAATCTGCATATAATTTAGCTATCCTCCTCTCGAAAGAACCAATGTCAAGGTTCAGAGCGCACATTGTAGCGCAATTCAGAAATCAAACACGAGCGCGAGCTAAACGAGATCTACAATTTTCAATCCCTGATTGAAAAAAATATTATAAGAACTGATATTTTTTGCGTTTTGATAGTCAGGCAAATGTAATAATAATTCGTTTTTCAAAAGCAGACAATAATTCTCTTGATTTATGAGCAAAGATGGATAGTGGCTAGCAGTGAGACCAAGGGCAAACGTTCCATCTTATTTGGGACTTGTCAGCTAGATGTACCTGCACCCCAGAGTTGGTTTTCACCCCCAAGGACTCAAACACAGTGTCTTTCGCCTCAAACGCCATCGCGTTATCTCCTTAGCTACTGAGTTCTGATAGCCACTTGCTTATGCAATGGGGTGAAGTTTAAATCCAGTTGGTATTATTTACTATCCATCTTTGCTTATAATGCCTGTGAATTAAAACAATATCGAGGCGATTCGCACAATATGCACATATGACAATAGAGACTGATCAATTTCAGTCCTAAATATCAATGCGAAGATTCACGTAAACAATGGGTGATCTTATCCGCAACGCAACCATGTAAACTTAATGTATCACACACTGTCATTTGTGCGTTCAAGTAACCACAGATTTTGTCATTTCGTAATGTATTTTTAATTAAATAACTAGATTAAGTATTTAATTTTGCTCTTTTTCAATTTTTATTCGCCACGTCCGACTGCGTTACATTGCACGTCCATTGCACGCTGGGATGATATCTCAAGTCATAGTGAGTTTATTCACATAGTTGATTGTTTCCAGATAGACTGTCAGTGCATGATCTTACTGAAGAAAGGTTTGTTGTACTGTAAACTATGAATTTATGAACAACTGCCTGTTGTCTTCAGTCGGATAACAATATATATATCCTTTGTCTTCTGTTAGGTAAGTTCATATGGCCTATATTTCGTGTTTTGGTCTTATCGGCTTAATTATGTCCATTTAACTACTTTAAGCAACATGTCTGTGCAAATGGAACAATAATTATGACACTTGCTTAGTTTAATATTCATGGTTGTCGTATAGTTCAGTGTAGTTGATAGAATTATGTTGTTCTTAAGTATAGTGCTTGAAGCCTGTAACGAAACATATCAGCTTGGTAAGTAGAGTTGCCTGTTATTATTATTATAGTGATTCAGATCAGTCTGTTTAAAAATAGGAAGAAAAGTGCCCTTGATGCTGTTGCTGTCATACAATATAAGATAGCGATAAGTATGTTTCGTCAAAATTGATTGATCACTGGGTGGTGATCAATGTCATGCTTGTCTAGTCCTTATTAGTGCAGATCGAATGCTATCGATCATGTTGCAATGTGGCCACCAGTCTAGGTGACTCGACACTGCGGGCACTATGTATTAAGATTTTAGATGGTGGTTGGAGGTAGTCAACAAGAAACACTGGACCCGGGTTTCGTGCTACTTGGCACTCGTCAGCAAGGTGTACCTGTAATCTTGAGGGAAATGGTGCTCCCTGGCGGATTCGATTTCGTGTCACCCAGCTTCACAGTCATCGACGTTACCACTGAGCTATCCGAGCCATGACTAACCTCCCGTAGGACTGAGATGTAATCACAATCGATTGATCACTGGGTTGTTAGTCATGGCTCGGATAGCTCAGTGGTAACGTCGCTGACTGTGAAGCTGGGTGACACGAGATTGAATCCGCCAGGGAGCACCAGTTCCCTTAAGATTACAGGTACACCTTGCTGACGAGTGCCAAGTAGCACGAAACCCGGGTCCAGGGTTTCCTGTTGACTACCTCCAACCACCATCTAAAATCTTAATTATGCTTCGTGTCTATTTCTAGACTGTACATTTATCGCTCACCATATTTCATGATCACTGTCATTAAATAATTTCCCCAGCAGTAACATCGTTAGCAAGATAGCTAAGCGTCTGAGCTTTCAGTTACCCGCAAAAGAGCAGTATACAGTTTTGGAAGATGGGTGTTCTGTGTCTCAATTAAATGCAGCTGGCTGTGGACAAATGTTAAGAATCTGTTTGACAACTGGGACTTTTAGTTTATCAGACACTTACTCTGCTTGTATGTCTTCCTGTTAAACTAGACGCATGTGCATGGGAATACTTAAATGGGAGCAAAATAATAAAAGCATTGCAATGCGGTACTAAGCCCATGTTATGCTTTGCACAAGTAACAGTAGCTGACCTTATCTAATATTCATGAACTGAAGGTAAATCACAACTGCATAAATTCTTTGCTAAAAAAAGTAATTTGTTTATATGTCTATCTCACATTTCTGACTATATTCACTACTATTTTCTCATTTAGAATGCAACAGGAGTGAGTCTTCACAGATCCTAAAAACCGTTTCGCCCTTAGAACTATGGAACTGTTTACGGGAGACCCAACTAACAGTAGATTATAAAAAGGGTGCTGAACGTCTATTTTAGTCTCACAACCACTTCTAGTATTTTTTTTACTTCTTTTACTCTTTCGTTTGGAAAAAACAACAATAACTGCAGCTTAACATTACCAATACATCTTTTAAACGGGAACTTGGTTTAAACCTTTGTTTGATATTCGATTCTTAATGAAAGTTCTTGAATAAATTTTTGAATCTAATGCTACTTTGTTTTATCTACTTAATCGTTGCAAGAAACTTGTGATAAGCGAGCCTCAGCACCTAGTTCATGTGTTCAAATGGTTGTGGACTGAATAGAAGCTTTCGCTTAATAGGCTTCCGTGTCTAGTAGAAGGGGATCACCAAATCCTCCAGGCAGGAACATAGGTGTGTTAACAATAAGAGAGGGAAAAGAAATTGGTAAATCATAGTATGATACTATCCTCAATCCTCAAGAATATATCCAGTTGCCTCTCGAAGGACTCCCGGAAAGTTGCTTGGACTAGCTCGGCGGGTAGCGAATTCCAGCACTTGACAACTCCTAAGGAATAGAAGTTGCGTCTACAATCCGTTCTGCTATGTTGTCTCTAGTTTCTGGGTGTTACACCTTAGGTTAGTGTTAGGACTAAGCTTAGGTAGGTGCTTAAGAGAATGTCCAGAAGTGTTAAGGATACTGTAAACCATCAGGTCACCTCTAAGGCGCCTATACTCTAATGGGTAGAGGTCAAGTGATTGGAGACGCTCTTCATAAGATGATTTGGTGCATATTTTCGTCATTTTCTTGGGAAACCTACAAACTCGGGTCCTCTTACAACTTATTCTAGGCACCATGGGTTGCCAGGGCAGCTGATGGATGGACACGCGTTACACAGCCTAACCGTCCCTGAGTCTAATCTCATAGCTTCTTATTCAAATGTCATATGATAAGCAGGTAATGCTTCTACCGACACTAATGGAACACGAGTAATTCAAATGCACCCTGTATGGTACCTTACATTGGTCTACGCACTCACTTAGCTCTTTAGTTAGACTTACTACAGTCCTGCTAAAAATCCCATGAACCCCCCTACCTCCATTAAAACAATAAGTCTGTATTTGCTGCATATAGCAATTTTATTTATCTGAAGTACGATATAACAGTTAGAATTGGAGTAAAATGGCAATATACAGCAGATGCACGTGGTACATGTCTTCATCGATTAACTGAAATAGAGAATACGGATATTAGCTTAACAGGCTTATTTAGAAAGACTAGTGTCTACTTTGAACTTACTGCGTGATAAAGTTATACTGGAACTATGAATAATGTAGGAATCTAGTCTCCCAGGGCGTACGAAGCACTCAAACTGGAAGACAGTTGTCCCAAAATAATTCGAATGTGAAGGTGAGAACTTGCAGGTACTTTTCATCGTAAGGGTGAACATATTAGATAACGGTTGACATCATACCGTAAAAAAACACAAATTTGCGAGTGGTGAATTATGGTCTATAAAAAGGTGAGCTTAGTAACAGTTAGTTACCTTTTTACTCCCTGATCATGACCCTTCGGCTTCCTTTTACGGCCAAAACAACAAGCATACACTACACACTGATAGCAGATTTGTGGCTTTTCAATGTTAAGCTTGCTTTAACGCACTACGTAATGCGTACAACCCTTCCATAACTGCTATATGGCATATTTTTCATAACAAACCCTCTGCAATAGATTGGTAGCATCTGTGACTTCGTCTACGGTTGTCGGAAGTCTGGGTCCTTTCGAAAACAATACTGATATCCCCTACTGCTGTGCAATCGGTATTAGTTTGACTCGTTGGTGGGATATTGTTGTCCACAATACTGAAGAAAATTAAAAACCGGAAATTTTTTCCTTTCATTTTGCCGATAACATCATAAAGGACAGTTAGGAATGAACATGCGGACAGTTAGTCACAGGCGGCAGCAACAGTTATTTCAGCTAAAAAAACGAACTTCGGCTTTGGATATTTAGAAAACAAGTCAAAACAAAACCGATTACCATTTTAAAACATAAGACGAACCAGCTTGGCTGAAGAAATACATTGGCTTGAGTAGAAGCAGCAAAAACCCAAAAAACAATGCTGATTCGAAGTAAATTTCACACCAACATGTAGAACATTACACTAACTGCGGCATTTTAACAGACCGAAACATTAAATTACATAGCTACACAAAAGAAATAACTGAAAAAAGCACAAAACGAAGAAGGCCGACCACCACTACTTACAAAGATGGCGGATGCATTAATTCCCGCCTCATTCTGATTGGTTGCTAAGCTAAAGGGCACATTTACGAAATTGAGTTGCGTTTAATTGCAGCCTAAACAATACCAAGAGGATTTTATACTTTGAAGTGTTTACACTCAAAGGCTACGAAGCCGGTTGGAGGATATCATTTTAAACTAAGTAATTGGCCCACTGAATCACTGAAACCTTTAGTCTTTAGAAATCTAGGCAACTCTGAAGATACTTTTTAGTGACTAACAACATTAAACACTTCTAGTCATCCCACTTGAGTGCGCATCCACGAACTCACACGCTGGACTCCAGCGCAAAAGCATCGACCTCGCTTACGAACTCTTCGGCTCTAGAATATAAAGCTGGCATCCAATGATGTTTATCATTATTATTGGGGTCCAGCATGAGGAATCGCAGACGCACGCTGCTTTAGAAATCTCATAACAAAACGAAACGACTGTCCAGTGCTTCCAGGTTGTCAATGGTGGTCTAAAATTGATCGGTTCGTGAATTTCGTGAAATTCAACAATCTCCACAGCGTTATGCTGACAAGTTCTCGGAGTTATTCCCAGAAATTAAAAGTACAACTTGGATAAGCGAACTAGAGGCACACTTCCTACTTCACATGAGCTGTTGAGTTTTGAAATCAGCTGAGGGCTGAAGTGGTCTAATCAAATTCCCGACTGTCCTCCAGGTGGATAATCAATATTCATTAATGTGAGACTCTAAACTCTATATCCCCTTGATTATCTTATCATCAAAGGTTCATTCTTGCTCGGCAAGGATCATATCGCGCGAAAACTTCTGTCGTGTACAAAATCGTTTGAAACATTTCTGTTCGTGAAGCTGATATACACTTAATTCAAATGAATTATGAATCTGGACGTTTGTTCATAACTCTTAAGTATGAGAAAGAAGCGCTTTAGAGTTAAAAAGAACTCACATCAGTCTTCATTTTAGGTGAGTTATATAACTATCCAGAACCATGCCGCTCTTGATCCAATCATAGGTATTTGGAAGAGAAAATCTCTTATACGCATACTATGTGACAACATTGCTTTTGTTTCTTCGATTGCCATGTTCATACTTACTTAAGGTCATACTCCTTCCATTACGCGAATTATATTTTGCTATTCTATGGATTCCGGTGATCTCAATTTATTTCAGTTTCAACTTCAATTACAGTTTTGAAAAAGACGGTAGACTGAGTGCTTCTGTTAATTCAGCCAAAAATGGCTTTTCAGCTGATCCAACTTTCTTTGAAAAATACCAGCTCGCTCAGTACTCCTTGATCTTGTAACGCCTTCGACACTTTATCACATGCACTCACAGAGATTTCAAAGACGGGTTTCACCAACTCGGCCCTTGGTCGCAAGACTACCTAGAGAACAGAAGATTTTGTACAAAGGTGAGTGGAGTGCAGACGAGGTGGTAGGCATCAGCATTGGGTGTTTCGAAAGGGACCATGTCCGGTCTACTTCTCCTCCTGATAACTATTGATGATCCTTTAAGTAGGATTTGCTTAGTGCCACTAATATGTGCAGATGACACACAGATCTGTAGGTCCGTTAAGGGCAAGAAGGGTTCACTTGGGCATTTGAAGCATCATACAACAATAAAGGAATGGACAGCAGACATAAGGATTGTGGAATTATGGTCTAGTTTGTATTTAATACTACCATAATTTTAGACCTAATCCCACAATTGTAGATATATCATAATATGACTGCCTAATCTATGAAATCTTTAGAAGTCACGCCATTATCTACACTGACTTATCACATCGCGACAAATAACAACAAGATATCTAACATTTAAGAACACATTTTGTCTGGGGATGGAATAATATATTCAATGCGGAAAGGTATGGGTACACAAATGACCACTCCAGAAGGGCTGAACGATGCCATCCGGTTGAATTGAATGCTTCTGCGTACGCTATTGATGACCTTCTCTTTGTGTTAATTGTTGAATAAAAACCTGTCTAGTAATTACACGCTCGATTTCAAAGGTCGTATTGTTAGGAACCAATGCCACTATATGTTTAAACTCAGTTTGTCAAATTGTCATGCGTTAGACATTTTGGCTCATTTGACGAAAGAACTTGCCTCCTTTGTGAAAATCTGCTCTAGAGTGCCTCCTTTGAGCGTAATCTGAAGCTGATAACCAGGGAGACAATGATGATTAGGAGTATTTGAATTGTAGTACGAAATAGGAGTACCTAAAATAATGCAATTGGATCAAGAAGTGCTAGATAACCACAAACTAATGTACTGTATTTAGAATTCGAAATCAAGTATTCAACAAGTACAAAGAAATTATTATTTCATCCAAACACCACATTCGCCACAGCTTTAATTGAAGTCTGGGTGTCTGTAATTAATTGTACGTCTTCTTCTCAAGTTCATCATGTGGATAAAACCTCTGTATTATCTAGAATGTACGCATTAGAATTAGCAACCGAAATTGGAACAGACTCACCTGGTTCCTGTAATTGCATTTGATCAACATGTCGATTGTGTGTACTTAAGTCATTGATATCTAGAGTCCGTACCATAGATTTCCAGACATTCTTCAGCACAATCCCCGCAGATGGTCTAAGATCATTTCCACGATAATATGTAACTTCTGCAAATTTCAAACATCTCATATTCGACCAAAGAATTCTTACTTTTAGTAGCTTTGATGGAGTATCTTTCGTCAAAGAATGTCTGGCATCTCTATATTGCAGTAGAAAGGTATATATTCCCCTCTTCAGCTCATTAAATGTTGAGGCTGCCAAAGAATGAATAGCAGTTTTCAATGTCCTGACAAAATTTTCTACCTGACCATTAGAACAAAGATGTCTTGTAGCAGCAAACAGATGTTTGCACCCTTCACCATTCAACCACGTAGTGACTACATCTGCATTAAAATGAAAGCCATTATCAGTCATTAACACCATATAACCCCTACTCGACTAAACACCTTTCTTAATGCTTGGATTGTGAAGTCAGAATTAGGTGAAGTTGTAAAAAAAACTTCAGGCCATTTTGAAAAAGAATCAATAAATACTAGTGCACAGTATTTACCAAGAAACGGACCACAATAGTCAGCATGAATTCTCTGCCAGGCCGCAGACGATACTGGCCATGGCGTCTACTTCAAAGGATGACTTTTCAACTGATGACAGTTCTCACAATTGTTTGCTGTACGACATATATCTGCATTTATCTCTGGCCACAAACGTGTGAGCCTTGCCAAGGACTTCATTTCCTCAACATCTAAATGAAGATCTTCAAGCATAGATTTACGCAATGAAGGAGGAATAATAACACAATCATCTAAACATAAAATACCACCAGGAGCAGTGGATAGCTCATCTCGCTTTGATAAATATACAGGAAATCGATGTTTCAGATTAACATTCCAGCCTTTCCGTATATCATTCAAAGTATCCATCCAAAGTATCTACGAGTTTCTCTAATGAAATCTGGACGTCTCGATGGTAAAGGTTGCACTAACAAACAGTCTGAAGTATTAGCAGTAGAATTCAGTGTACAAAATATTTCCAAGGCAATCAGTACATTGAAACACTCATACACTGATGGACCAGATGGTATTCCATCTAGCATGCTAAAACGTGGAGGTGATGATATGTGTGTTTTGCTTCTCAAACTATTCGCAATATCACTCTCTTCAGCGTGTTACCTCACTGCCTGGAAAACTACACATATCATTCCCAAAATTAAAACAGGACCTGAAGCAAACGTTGAAAATTACCGGCCTATAAACATAACTTCAGTGGTATCCAGAGTGATGGAAAAAGTAGTTAAGGCGGCTGTAGTCCAACATCTACTAACTAATAATCTCATCTCGACCTCCCAGCATGAATTTCTTAGGTCCAGATCATGCGGTACATGCCTAGTAGACTACCTGAATGATATAACTCTGAAACGAGACAGCGGACTCCTTGTATCAGTCCTATTCCTAGACTTTAAGAAAGCCTTTGATAAGGTCCAACACAAAAAGCTACTCGTCAAACTAAAGTCCTTCGGAATACACAACCCACTGTACTCATGGTTTGCTTCGTTCTTAACAGAACGTAAACAGATGGTAAAATACAATGACTGTCTCTCGTCCCCCAGACCAATCACCAGTGGAGTCATCCAGGGAAGCGTATTAGGTCCACTTTTGTTTCCTATGTATATAAACGATATATGTAACACCATAGAATTTGGGAGACCATACTTATATGCTGATGATCTCAAAATAGTATACAGCTATAAGCCTGAGACACTAAGCGAAAGTGTATCACAGATCCAAAAGGACCTCAATAACTTAACTAGATGGAGTGAAAAATGGCAATTACCATTAAACCTCAACAAGTGCGGGATCATGCACTTTGGAAAGCATCCCAATAGACCGCAACTTCACTTAAATGAAAGTAGAGTCCAAACACTCGAATCAGTACACGATTTAGGAATTAATTACACAGGAAGCCTGAACTTTGAAAAACATGCCTCCTCTATTATTTCTAAATCTAGACGGCTAATTGGCTTTATAATGAAAAACTATTTCACAACAGAGGGTAAACTTACTCTCTACAAAATATGTGTACGACTCTCCCTTGAATACTGCTCTTTTGTCTTCTCTAATATGAATATCACAGACAAGATAAGAGTAGGAGACGTTCATAGACGTTTCACACGTCAACCACTAGGATGTAACTCGAATCTCGATTACACAGACAGATGTAAGCATCTATCTTTAGAACCTTTATGGCACCGTAGGCTAAAAAACAATTTAATATTTCTCTACAAAGCGATATATGGGCTTTCCTTTCTAACCTCCTGCCCGACTATTACCCACGACCCAGCCTATAGACTTAGAAACAACGCATATACACTACTTACCGTAAAACACCAAAAACAAATGCGTTGTAAGTTCTTTACAGTACGGTACAGTTTATTGTGGAACAGGCTGCCAATGCCTATCCGTAATTGTGATACGTTTATCAGATTCAAAAGGCTAATAACCCTATTTCTAGACTCCAAAGAGCTTCAACATTTCCTTGAACTCCCACCCACTAATGAGGCACTTTATTACGGACCGCCTGGTATCTAGAAAGAACAAAATTATAACAAGTCCGACTGTTACTAATATGAATATAGCCAAATCACAGAACATATGACTTATCCTTTCCTATTATTCATTGTTTATTAATCATGACTTCATGCTCCTAACCCTAGCTTTCAGTTCCCAAATCTCTACAGGTTAAATGTACATTATTCTTCCTAAAAGTCATGCTTTTTTTTCGACTGCAAGTAGACAGATAGCTCAATCTTATGAATGCTGATCTACTAAGGCCGACCATTCAAAGCTCAAAATTTGGCCACAACGTCTTGTGAGTTCCTCAATATTTTATTTGTCTTACCCTGAAATCTTTTTTTTCTACGATTTTATACCCTCTCATATCTTTTGATTTGCTATTAGTCCTTACTTCTTTAAACCATTAGTTATTTTCATAGCAGTGTGATATACTATATGGACATCTAACCCATAAAACAGACTTTTCAACTATCCGACTTGTTTGTAACATGGACCTAGTAGAGACAGTGTATTCCAACTATGGGCTTTGATTAAAGCAGTATCCATACTTACCACAAACGTAAGAGAGCCTAACATCACAAGAGGAGGGAGGGTGGCGTTACTGACCAGCAAACATGAAGGTGGGGAGATAACTTCAATCCACCCATGTCTGTAGGGCAGAACATTTTGTTTAATTACGGCTCCTTATGGTTTAGTGGGATGCCACGAACTTATGGTATTGAAGCTGATTTATTCACGCAAAATACCTCTTTAAGTCGTGTTACGAACGTTGAATTGGTTTCACTTCCTACCCAGAAATCCTATTACAAGCAAACTAGACAATTCGCTAATATACGAAGCCTAATCAAGACCCTATAATAACTGGGGGAAAAATATTTAGAAAAAACGAAAGGGGCTCTAATAGCTTCGATAATAAAGGGAAGACAGCCAAATGTATATCACAATACTGTTTCTAGCACTATATTTTATTTTATAATCACACATAATCTTATACTCTCAGTTCTTTTCCGAATCGCCCCCATTTGTCAGTTGTATGTCCACTCACACCTTGTCAACACTTATTTTCTTTACCCTATTAAAATGCTCTTTCTTAACATATACCTTAATAAAGGAAAATTAGACTGAGTAATCATACCTTAAACATTCCTTCATGAATATTGGCTAATCTGCCTCTCGTGTTTTCTTTCACTTGCTCCCTCTTTCAGCCCCCTTGAGATATGGAACTGGTGACTTCATCCTGCACCATCCTTAAAGCCTTGGATATCCCAAAGGGACATAAGGTTGCGATTTCTAAAAGCTCATACCTTCAATGGACCTATCCTTGACCATCAGTCGCACATTCGCAACGCAACTTTCATGAATCGCGCCAACTGTGGTACTGATTCAAACCATCTACATTCATATCTTATAAATTATCAACTCAGCTATGTAATTTATTACAGTGTATATTGTATCATTTGTATCAATTTAATATTGCCTGTAAACTGGCATGCCTCATGTAACAAACGGTTATTTGAGAATAAATTATTATTATTATTATTATTATTATTATTATTATTATTATTATTATTATTTTGTAATGACTGTGAAGAAATGTAATCAACGTGGTGAATTTGTTTGGCACTTCTCTGTTGAACCGTATAGTCATATGCACTCAAAGCAATAGTCCATCGTTGAACCATGGAAGCTGAGGAACGTGCTAAGGATTTTTCAGGATGATAAATAAACTTTGAGGCTTCATGATCAGTAACAATAGTGAATTTCTTTCCAAAAAAATATTTATGAAGTCTTTTAACAAACCAAAACACAGATAATGCTTCCCGCTGAGTCTGTGAATAACCTTATTCAGTAACAGTAAGTTTGCGTAACTCCGCATGGAGTCCTTCCGAGGGCTACTGCCTGTCCGAAGCCCTGATAAAGGACGAGGGTTGGGCATGAGGTTAGAGACCCCATCCTGTAGAAAACTAACTCGCTAAAAAAACGTTAACCAGAAAAAATTATTCAAACATTTTAAACTCTGCCCTGGGAGTCAGAAGGTCTTCATTTAGGAGAGTCACGACGCCTCATGATGAAGCCTGGGTTCCATCGGAAGTCACGAGGCCGATGCCTCTTCTGACAATCAGAGCAACCATTTATTTAGGTACATAGAATGCTTTTACTATGTGGGAGACCGGGAGAGTCTTCCAAATTGATGCAGAAATGCGGAGATACAACCTAGAGGTGCTAAGGATCAATGAAATACATTGGACGCAGGTTGGACAACAATGACTTGCTTCAGGGGAGCTGCTGTTATACTCCGGCCATGTTGAAGAAAATGTTCAACATACACAAGGATTTGCATCAATGCTGCCCAAACAAGCACAAGTTAGAATGTTCAAATTTAGTCAACTATTTATGCCATTAAAATAAGGATTGGCCAACCTCAGACTAACTTTGTGATAAAACAGTGCAATTCAATTTGAAGTTACTTGGATTATTCGCTTGTTCAAATTTTGACTGGAATTCGATTAATCTTGGTTGGAATATGGGTATTCTGTTTGAACTCTCTCTACCTATCTATTATGACACTAGTTAATACAGAATAAATGGGATATGATTAGCAGTGGAACCCATCATGTATGTTTCGTCCTTTTTGAAACCCATCATTTGGATATGCCTGCGTCCCAGAGTTGGTATGAACATCAACTCCAATTGAATTAAAACTCATGCCCGTTGCACAAATCAGTAGCTAACTGGACTCAGTAGCTAAGTAGATAACCCCATGGTGTTTGAAGTGAACTTTACTGTGTTTAAGTACCGAAATGCAGGCTCATCCAGCTGACCAGTCCCGAATAGGGTGAAAGGCACATCTTGGATTTCACTGCTAGTCACATTCTACCTATTCTATACAAACAGTATAACTTCCTTGCAATTTTTATCATGGTCCTTGTTGGGGTAATCCAGAAAAATTCTCGCAAAAGACAAGAAAGGCTCTGGAAACACTATGAAGTATTTTGTCCAATCAGCGTTCACTTGAATTTTAGTCAGAAATATCAAGAGAGTGAAAAGTCACATGTAGAGTTTCTGACTGACTGATTACTATGCTGCTGTTATGTTTAGTAGCAGTCCAGAATTTTCGGGAAACTCAAGGACATCTAAGATATGATGAAATCCCTATATATTTTCTGTACTGAAACGAACCTTTTGAGTAAAGTGTTTCTTGCGTATTTTGCGCCTTTTCGCTCGTGTTAAGGTTGCTGTGCAGTTCTAGCTTGGGGGTTACAATAATAGTTTGGGAACCGAATATAGCGTTCATTTAGCAAGACTTATCAGTCCTTAACGCTGATATCTGCACAGAGTTAAAGAAAATTTACGACTTATAAATTTCACTTATTTTATAACATGCTTTAATTTGTTAACACAGAAAAATAACGTAATTATTTAAAATAAATCTTTATCAATAAATCTCAATGGCTTCATGCTTTAAACAATTTTACAAAACGAAAGCTTTAGCTGGGTACAACATATTCACAAAAAATGTTTATTAGATCTCTCATTCTGTTGTATTTTACTTCATAGTTGACTAAAATTGTTCGCTTGTTATTGATAATAAATCATGGTTGTTATTTGATAAACAAAATTCTCGTTAAGAATTTTCGATTATCATTGATATTGTACGCCCTATGCTTTAAGTTTCGACCAATGATACACATTTAATGTGATTAGCCTTAATGAATAACTGTTCCCCACGTTTCATCAGTTTATCCTTCTGTAAATATTTACCATTGACTGTTTAGTTAATTTCTGATCATAAATCGACCGTATAAGTATTCGAACAAACATCCAATTTAATTACTTTTGTAAAGGTTTGAATCTTTCAGTTATTGATGTTATTAACAGCAAGTGATCAATCTTTTTTAGAATTAGTATACTCTACGCAAAATACCCCTTTGTTACTATGACGTTACAAGCTTCTCTAAGCAATTTGGATAGTGTCTGGAAGTGGAATTCAGGACATTTCATCCCATTTGGGACAGAAATAAATTTGCGTCGATATGACCTAAGAAATTATTGAATACGATTGTCTGAAACGAGGCCTAAATAGTTTACAATTTTCAAAATAATAACATCTTTTAAAGATCTGTCGTAGTACTAAAAACAATCTAACACCAGACTTTATTCTTTTAGTTGTATCTTACAGATTGTAAGCACTGAAAGTTAGAAAGGGATTTAAATAACATTAGAAGTTGCTTGTTGTTATTTAAAAAATCCATAAGTTACTTCGGTACTGCAATAAGATTTCAATTAATTACTTATTAGAGTAAACGTTTTATTATGGAAGCTCATAAAAGTTAAACTTCATTAATAATATATTCCTTTTTGAATGACGTAGCAGAAGTATCGTATATGCATGTTAATTAAACTTAAACTAAATTGTACAACTTTAGTAAATGACATTATAGACGTATTAAAAATTTACTGTATAAGATATAATGATAAATTTATTATAGCAGAAAGTAATATTACAATAACTATGAAATAAATACAATTTATTAAACTAGACTAATTTATTTATCCATTAACTAGATTTATAAGATAAACTATAATTTTAATTAGGAATAATATCGTTTGCGAGTACACTTAACGCTGTCCATAATTGTCTTCCAACTTGTCCAATATATGATGGTGGCAGAAGAAATCCATAACGACCTTCATCACATAATTCTATTGTATAGGCATATGGGATTTTTAATTCACCAGCTACATAATCGTCTGTTGCTCCAGCTGCTTCATCTGAAGAACAGAAATGGGCCCAGTAAAAAATCAAAGACAAATAAAAAAGAAAGCTAAACTACTTGAAACTTTTAAAACTCATTAAATGGATAAAGCCAATAAAGAATATTTTCAAAGCAAAAATAATATGCCAAAGTTTGAAGGTATTGTACTCTTTGACCTTGATAAATTAGTCACGATGCCTTAATTGTCACTCCAGAAGATACCATCAGCACATACTTCAAAGAGAAATGAACTATTGAAAGTTTTCTACAATTGAATAAAAGTTCTTTCCATTGACGTTAGTAATTCGTATTTGTGCGTCCGCTATTTGCATATCTGTTTTGATTGTTTCCACCCCCCTGTCATGATCTATGAACCGTGAAAGGTCAACAGAACAAGTTGTTAGCCACTAGTGGAAACATTTAATCTCTCACTTCTCTCTGAAATTAGTGTTAATGATACTATGCAAAAGAACAATCACAGTTTCATGAGCGAACCATACAGCTCCCAGAACGCAGTATCACTGAAATCCTCAACCCAAGCTATAAATATTCCCCAACATGTCGAATCGTACTCATTCACTTTCAAGTACTGATCAATAAGCTATCTTAGTTTGTATTTCGCTAACGGCCTTATCGGTCGTATTTATCGTTAGTAAATAAGTACATTCATTGTCATTATTCTCGACTACATCAGTGATCACTCCTTGTAGCTGTAGAAACAGATTATGTTTAGCCGCGACTTGGTGAATAACGCGTTAGGCGCTTGGAGCAAAAGGTACTGGGTTCGAGTCCTTGTTTGAATATCAACAATAGTAAAGGAACAACCAGTTGGCGAGTCTCAAAAAGGATTAAACACGCGTCCAAGATTTCACTGTAGGTAACCACCTAACGTTACTAATACTAATGGTGTTGTCTAGAACGACAACAAACAAATTATTTAGCTTAGAGAAAATATCTGTTTAGTGTTTCTTGATTGCTTAATGGACGTTTAACTAAGGTCAAGCTATAGTGTAAACTATCAAAATCAACAATCGTCACACACTATGTCGACATTTTCTCAAGTTTGGTTCCCGTTATTTGTAATTTACACAAAACTAAAGATAGCTGATTCAGTTTGCATATTATTGTCAGATTTGATAAGATACTCGAAGTTTCATACTGAATAAGCATCGATATTCTCATTTCCACTATATTAATAAATTATTGTAAAATGAAAATTCAGTAATATGTAGACAAACATTGTATAAATTCAAAAATGTTCATGACTATAAAGTCTATTGAATATTTGAACTTCAACATATATGAAATGGTTAATCGGAAAGCATTATTCACTTACATAAAAGTTCAGATGATGAACCAACTTGATAAACATAACCATGTCGATTTT